TTGCTGTCCATTTTTAAATTGGGTTATTTGCTTTTGTTACTGATTTTGAGGATTCTCTATATATTCTCAGTAGGGTTTTTTTTTATATTGGATACATGATTTGCAGATATTTTCTCCCAATCTTGGATTTTCCTGTCATTCTCTTAACAGTGTTTTTCAAAGAGCAGACATTTTTTTTTTTTTAAATCCTCACCCGAGGACATTTTTCCATTTTTTGTTCAGATAGAGTGGGAGGGAGAGAGAGAGAAAAAAACATCGATGTGAAAGAGACACATTGAGTGGCTGCCACCTGCACAACCCAACCAGGGCTGGGGACAAACTGCAACCGAGGTACAATGCCCTTAGCGGGAACTGAACCCGGGTCTCTCTGGACTGCAGGCTGACGAAAGAGCAGACATTCTTAATTTGAATTGTCTAATTTACACATTGCAAAAATCTGTATTGTGTTTTTGGTGTTGTATCTAAGAAATTCTTTGCCTAACCCATGTTTACAAAGATTTTCTCCTCTATTTCTTCTTGAAGTTTTAAGTTTCAGGTTTTATATTTTGGTCTGATCCATTTTGAGTTAGTTTTTGTAAAGCATGTAGGCAAGGTATGTATGTTTCCTATGAAGCAGCCAATTTAATCATAAGAGATTTAATGAAATGACCGGGTTTATGGTAGAAAGGGATGTGAAACAGTCCCCTTTGCAGTGGGTTGAAGATGTGCTTTCCACTGTGTAAAAGGTTTTTCCCAGGTGCAAGGTAGTTCACCCTCCAAGTTCTTCTGTCCCTGCTCTCCAAATTGCGTGCAGAAACAATGAGGAGAATGCAAAGGTGTGCGCAAATGTCTTTTATACTATTACTTAGGGCTTAAAGTGGAACTTGTTTCCAAGTGAAATATAAATAATAGTGTTCCTGGAATAAGAAACATTTTCTTAAGCTTTATCAGAAATCAACTCTTGAATCAGCTGGCCTTAAAGAGCATCTCAGTTTTTTTGTTTTTTGTTTTTCCTTTCAAAAAGTACATAGATGATAGCCCTGGCCGGTTTGGTTCAGAGGTTAGAGCAATGGCCCATGAACCAATGAGTCTTGGGTTCAGTTGCAGTCAGGGGCACAAACCTCAGTTGCTGTTTGTCCCTGGCCCTGGGGTCATGCAGAAGGCAGTCAGTCGATGTGTCCCTTTCATGTTGATGTTTCTCTCTCTCTCCCTCTCTTGCTCTCCAACTCTATCCGAAGATAAACAGAAAAATATCCTTGAGTGAGGATTAAAAAATAAGTAAATAAATAAACAGTAAATAGATGATAAATATGTTCCACCTGGCTAGGAAGTGGTATTTTTTAATCCAGGAAGAATGGATTTAGATATATCATTGAGATATGGGAAAGCCTTAATTTTTTTTTAATCCTCACCTGAGGATATATTTATTGATTTTTGAGAAAGAGAGAGAGAGAGAGACATCAGTGTGGTAGAGAGACATCGATTGGTTGTCTCCCTATGTGCCCTGACCAGGAATTGAACCCACAACCTTTTGGTGTGCGAGACAATGCCCCAACCAACTGCGCCACCTGACCAGGGTGGAAAAGCCTTGATTTTTAAAAATTATACTTAATTTTGAAATATAAATTTTACCCTGGCCGGTTTGGCTCAGTTGGTTGGGCGTTCCCATGCTCCCCGAGGGCTTGCCCATTGATCCCCAGTCTGGACACATGCTGGGGTTGTGGGCTCAATCCCCAGTGGTGGGCATGCAGGAGGCAGCCAGTCGATGTTACGGTCTCACATGATGTTTCTCTCTCTCTCCCTCTTCCTTCCTCTCTCTCTAAAACTCAAAAGTATTTTTTTTAAAAGTATTTAGATTTTTAAAAAATCTAAAATTTTAAGCTAATGATACATTAGTTATTTTCGAAGGTAAATAATTGCTTAAAAAGCAGCTGGCGGTTTGAGGTATCTTTTTTATAGCTTATTTGCTTTTTTTCATTGAATTTTAATTGAGACTCAGTGAAATAGAGACCTCCAAAGCATTGCTTTGTGCTAAGAAATACTGGAAAGACCTACCACGTGAGAGACAGGCAGCCACTGGGCAGGGTTTGTTTGTATTAGCGCAGCCCAGGTGGGAAAGAACAAAGCTGGATTCCTACCAAGTGCGGCTGTGCCCACGGCTCTGTCCTCTGTCTCTTCAGTTCTGGGTTTGGAGCCCAGATGCCTAGGTCGAGGTGTGGTTCTCCGTCACGACAGCTGAATTCTGGACACATGAGGTGATGTATTTGCACCTGCCTTAGGTGAAGGGGTTGGGTTCGCAAACCACGTGCCCCTAGTAGGTAGTGTGAGGACTGGGTGGAGGTCTAGACTTGTCCAAGAATTTGGAAAAGATTGCTTTCATTTAAGGAAGGAAAATTCTCCTCACATCTTGAAATCATCTTTTTTTTTTTTTTAATCCTCACCTGAGGATATTTTCCCATTGATTTTCAGATAGAGTGGGAGGAAGGGAGGGAGGGAGAGAGAGAGAAACATCTATTGAGAGAGACACATGAGTTGGTTGCCTCCTGCATGAACTCGAGCAGGGTCGAGGATTGAACTGCAACCACGGTACATGACCTTGACTGGAATCAAACCTGAGACTCTTTGGTCTGCAGGCCAGTGCTCTAACCACGGAGCAAAACTGGCCAGGGCTTGAAAGTGTTTGTTTAAATTTGTCTTTCATTGAATTTTTAAAAATTATGGTCAGGGACACATAAAATTGACCCTCTTAGCCATTTTGAAGTAGCATGAAGAACATTGAAATTGTTGTACACCCTCCAGAACATTTTCATTGGGCAGAACTGAAACTCGACCTGTTCAACAGTCACCCTGATTTTCCCCTTTCCCTGGCCCCTAGCAGACACACACCTGTGTCTGTAAGTTTGACATCATACAAGTGGAATCATACAGTACAGTATTTGTTTTTGTGACTGGCTTATTTCAGTTAGCATAATGTCCTGGAGGTTCATTCATGTTGTAACATATGACAGGATTTCTTGTTTTTAAGAAGAATTAGTTGACACTGCTCAGCAGTTGCTTTTTGGTGCTGGAGGGAAGACAGAGCAAAGACAGGATGCCAACGAGACTCAGGTGTGCTGTGAGGGTTACCTGTGTGGTAAGGGCGAGGATGCTCACGGACAGCTGCTAGGAGGTAGGGACAGGTACATCCACAGAGAGGAACAGAAGACGGGCTCGGATCTCAGTAACTGTTCTATAGACCACCAGCGCATGGGGAGGACCCTGGTGCTTGTTAGAAATGCAGACCCTGAGGTCCCGCTCCTGTCCCACTCATTTAGATTCTGTAGATTAAAAAAATTATTTTTTTATTATTATTTTTTATCCTTACCTGAGGACATTTTTCCATTCTTTGTCCAGATACAGTGGGAGGGAGAGAGAGAGAGAGAGAGAAACATTGACGTGAAAGGGACACATCGAGTGGCTGCCACCCACACAACCGACCAGGGCCGGGGACAAACTGCAACCAAAGTACGCGTGCCCTTAGTGGGAACCAAATCCGGGTCTCTCAGGACCGCAGGCTGACGCTCTAACCACTGAGCCAAACCGGCCAGGGCGAAACAAATTTTTTTATTGAGATACAATTTACCTATAACATTATATTAGTTTCTGGTATACAATGTAATTTTTCAATAGTTGTTGGATTTCCTTCCCTTTTTTAAAAAAATTTTATCTTCACCTGAGGTTATGTTTATTGGTTTTGGAGAAAGGAAAGGGGAGAGAGACCGATGTAGAAGTGGAACTGATTGGCTGCCTCCCATACACGCCCCGACTGGGGGTCCAGCCTGCGTCCTGGGTACGTGCCCTGACCTGGAATTGAACCTGCAACCTTTTGATGTACGGGATGGCGGGCCAACCAACTGAGCCACCCTGTCAGGGTGATTTCCTTCTTAAGGCTGAATAATAATCTATTGTATGTGTGGATGACATTTTGTTTATCCATTCATCTGTCGTGGGCAGTTAGGTTACTTCTACTTTGTGTTTTTGTGAATAGTGCTGCTATGAACAGCGAAGGGCTATTTTTAATGTAAAGTTTTTCTTTTTACTTCATTTTAACACTTCAGTGTCCAGCGCTAATTTGAAATTTTGGCATTTACAATTTCCTTGGGTGGTGTGTGCTGAAATATTTTAAGAGTGATGTCTGTAAATTACTTTGAACACACGTGGATCAGGTTGGCGCCTATTAAATCGCTGTTTTCCTAGGTCAAAAACAGTCAAATATCAGCAAGTGCCTATGGGTCAGACTAATATTTGTTGAAAGAGAAATAAAACAAATGGGGTTCTATGTGAAGATCACACTTTGTACTGTTCTTTCACCCCTCTGTGTGTGAGCTTTCTCAGCACAGGGAGTTGGGGAGTCAACACACAAACATGAACTCTCCAGATACCTGTTTGTTAGGTTAAGGGTGCTGACACGTTCTCGCTGGGAGTAATTGCCTATAATAGCGTTTACATTCTCATGGAATTCTAAAACTCTGCAGTCGATTCAGAACATAGAAAAGAAGGAAAGCTCTTTCATTGTGTGAATTTCCACATCTGAATCAGCATATGAGAAAGAACAGAAAAATAAAGAACTGTCGATGGAGTTAAGAAAAGAGGACGTAGTGATACCTTATGGAGTCTTTCTTCTATGGATGTCATTTAAAGACAGATCCACCGTAGGAGAACAATAGAGAGACGGTTGGTTTCTCAGAAACGGATGCCCACTTTCTCACTTTTTGTCAAGAGATCAAAAATGGCTTCTATCTAGGCATGGGCTTGACATTCTCTGTAAAATAGGGCGTATCTCAAGAACTTGAAGGACTCTTATCCCCATCCCTGGTTGTCCTAAGGTATGAGCTGAAGCGCATTGTGCGCAGGGTTACTGCGGTCAACTGGGCGACCACGGCCGATTGATTAAGTTAGGAGATGGTGACTCCTCTTTAGAAAATTTCCCTGATGATAACAATCGCTAGTTTTATCCTTTTTCTGTTTTGAATCCAAAACAGATCCCTAAAGAAGTGGCTGACATCTTTAACGCCCCTAGTGATGATGAAGAGTTTGTCGGTTTCCGAGATGATGTTCCCATGGAAACCCTGTCATCAGAGGAGAGCTGCGATAGCTTTGACTCCCTGGGGTCGGGCAAACAGGTATGGATGCCTCCTTTCAAGGCAGGCGTGTGCGTCTGGAAGCCCGGATCTTGGTGTAGATATTCTTTTCTTTGAACATGGTCCGAGATGGGTGATATCAGCTCATTGTCGAGCATGTTATTTTAGAAGCATTAGGCCTTCGTGTGTCAAGAAACTGGGGAGAGTTCCTAGCTCCCTTTTGCTGTTTCAATCCTTTCTTATGTATCATAATATTTTTTTAATAAAGGGGACCTCACATGATCAGATCCATTTTCTGTGCAAGCTTGGGGCTGCTGCCCGAGCGAGGCTGCCCTCAGAGCCCCCCAGGCAGCTGGCCGGCGCGGGCTGTCCCGCACAGTGATTGCCCACACCCGAGGTGCGTGCGGGAGGGTGGGTACCCCCGGACGATCATGTCCCTGCTCTCACGGCGTGGTTCTGTCGGCAGCCCCCTCTTGGAATTGCTGGGGAGAGCTTTTTTTTCCTTTAATTACTTTGATCTGTGGCACACACCAGCTGCAGTTCTGAGAGTTAGATTCCTGGAAGTTGGTACTGTGCCCTGGCAATAGCATCTAGCCTTCCGGGGCATTTTCTCCTGAGTTCATTGTGGCACTCAAAATTACTCCTTCTCTTGCCTGGCTGGTGTGGCTCACTGGTTGAGCGTCAGTCCATGCACCAAGAGGTCGCTGGTTCAATTCCCAGCCAGGACACATGCCCAGGTTGTGGGCCCGATCCCCAGTGGGGGGCATGCAGGAGGTGGTCGATGTTCTCACTCATCGATATTTCTCTCTCTCCCCTTCCCTTCCTCTCTCTCTCAAATCGGTAAAGAAAAAAATATTTAAAAAAAATTTTTTTTAATGTTTCCCGCTTTGTGGTCTCTCTTGAAAGGCTGTAAATCATACCCACCTTGCTTCAGCTGGGCAAGCACAGGAAGGGAAGCGGTTAATTACATCTAAGTGCAGTGCCTGCGGGATGCCCTGGCTGGCTGTGTGTGTCCTGGCCTCGGTGGGACTGTTCTGTCCCAGGACATGGGGCCTCCACTCTCTGTGGTCCTCACCTTACTCGATGTCTCAGCAGCCAACCCCCCAGCCACCTGCTTCCACTCCCCTTGTTCTCTTCCTTTCCGTTACCTCTTGTTCTTTGTTGTCGTCTCTTCTGTTTCCTGTCTCCATATGAGGATGTGCTCCACGGCTTTGTCTTCAGACCTGTTTACTTTGTGATCCCGGGGTTGTCCTGGCTTCAGCCATCACCTCCAACTTCTAAGGCTTGGTGTCTCCCTCCAGCGCAGATGCATTTCTGATGGCCAGCTGGACCGATCCTGCTTGTTCAGGGGAGATCTGAACTCACCCCTTTCCCTCCCCTGGTTGTCTGTCTGGCTTCCCCTTTGTTATCTCCACCTTGGGTGTTCTTGAGCCCCCTCCTCTCCTGTCTCCCTGACTCCCTTCCAGGAGTTGGTGAATATTCTCACCTCCATTCCTTCCCTTCTCTTCCTCATGGCCCTTAGCTCAGCTGTAGAACTGAGCTGTGGTCAGTTCTCCCTTAATCGGAAACCACCAGTCTCTCCATTCAAGCACGGTCAGGCAGTGAGGGCGAGTGGCGCCTGCTGGGTCCACCGTGAGGGGCATTCTGAACAGTGCAGGACGTGGGTAAAGTGCTGAGCCTGGAGCCTGGCATTCAGGGGGCACTAAGAAACAAAGCAGCTGCTCTGGCTGCTATGACGACAGCTACTTCTGTGTGGTCAGTCCGCCCCACCCCCAAGCATACATTATTTAGAGGGCCCATGACAATATGCTCTTCATACAATTACATTTAATCCATGTACCTCCCTGGGAAAGTGTAGGTGCTGTATTATCCTCATTTTACAGGTGATGAAATGGAAGTGCAGGGAGGTGAAATAACTCGCCCAAGGTCCCACGTCTCAGAAGCGACTGAGCTGGGACAGTTCAGCTCTAGCAGCACAACTTCTCTCACCGTCTGAACGCCCACCGCTGTCTTCCTGCCTGTGGTGCCGCACAGACCGGAAGCTGAGTCCGTTCCTCGTGCACCGTCTACCGTGTCTACACCAGTCCATGCTGCCCATGCTGCCTGTGTACTCACTTGTCGTTTTCCTAGACTCTACCCCAGTTCACATCCAGTTCAGATGCTGCTTCTTCCAGGAAGTCTTACTGGATTTTCTTTCGTTCTGAGCACTGTTGTGCTTGTGTCTCCCTTCTAACACTGATCCTCACCGTGGTTATTGTGGACCTGTGCCTACAGAAGGACAAGCCCTGGGATGGAAGGGACCTCATACTTGAATGGGGCTTTTCCACTTCTCTGGCTTGGACTGCCCGCTGGGTGATCCTTCCCTCCTGTTTCATGCATCTGGCACCTGTTGTGAATGAGCACCCGTGGGGTGGAAACCACTCCGATAGCTCTTCTTCTGACCAGTTATTTGCTTCTGTCCTTGATCATGGTGACCAAGGCTCATAGCATCATCTAGTATTGATTTAAAAAACATAAACGGATCTCGGAGAGCCAAGAGCTGTGTGAGGGTTGTAACCTAGAATGCAGCAAGGCTGTGTGGGGTGCATATTTGCTTCATACAGACCCTCGTTAAAATGTATCTTACACCCTGTGGAGTGAGGAGAAGAAAAGCCCGGGCCTTGGTTTAGGACTGTGGCTAAGTTCTTTTTCTCTGTCAGAACTGGCCGCCAAAGGTACCGATTTTTCCCAGGCTGACCACTGCCCCGTGCGGCCAGCTCAAAGCTAGAAACTGGAAGCTGGGAACGTGCTGCTGTAAGGCCCGACCTGTTCCCTTGGGCCGGGACTGTGGGTATCTGATGAAATCTATACATAGGCCCCTGGCCCCAAAGCGGTCTGCAGGGGCCGGCTCAGGGCCCTAGGAACCAGATGCTTCCCGCACTCAGAGAGCAGGCTCGTGGTGGGTTTCCTCAGGAGCCAACTGTGTACCTTTCTTCTTCCTTAATCATAAATCCTCATCTGTCTGCTGCTGCCCCGCCCGGCCCCACATGCTCAGACCCCTGTGAACCAGCCAGAGAAGCTGCAGGAACCTGTACTTGGTGTGTGTAGCAATGCTGATGACTCTCGTCTCCCTTAAACAGTTTGAATTTCACTTTCAAGAAGCTTCCTGAGTGTGTGTGTGTGTGTGTTTTCCAAGCAGCTGCACCACAGCTATCAACAAAGGAGCAAAGTAATTTAGCTCTGAGCACACTCACTCCAATTACCCATACTAATTCATAGGAGACATTTTTAAGCTTAAAGTGCTGGATATAGGCAGTTCTTTTCTCTGTCCCCTGTAAGTTTTTCCACCCGTCTGTTATATCTATTTTTCTCCCGAGACTATCTGAGCTCGAAGTGTGTAATTAAAGTCAGGGAAAAGCATGGGGGCGGGGAGATAAAGATTCTCCAACCAAAAGTGGTATGACGAGGGGTCACTGCTGTGTTGGGTGTGGGAGGAAGAGACCTGAGAGGCAGCTGGGGACGCAGCCTCCAGCCCGGCTGCAGCTTGGAGGAGGCTGTTTGCGGGTCTCCTTTCTGAACTGCGGTGCCTTCTTTGCCCTCTTCTCTCAGCCATGCCGCGTAGAGAACCCGGTTTCCTTTTCTATTAGGTCAAAAGAAAGAAAGTCTTTATTGGAAAATGTCCTCCTTTTCTAAGTCAGTCCCGTCTTTTGCTCACTTGCTACCTCTCGGTGGTTGCTGGCCTCTTGCCACCTGGGACCTGCTGGGGGTCACGGAGGGTGGGGGCGTCCGTCGGTCCCCAGAGACAGTTGGTGAGGGAGACGGGGCAGGAGCTCAGCGGTGGGTGGGCAGCGGAGTGGAGGTCTGCAGCCCTCTCTCCCCCTGGGAGACTTGCGGTCCGGGAAAGGCAGGCTGGCTCGCGGGCTTGGAGGAGAGGGCTTTGCGGGGCTTAGAAAGGAAAGCCAGCCCCTGGGAGGCTGCCAGGTCTCCCCGTGGCTTTCTGGTTCCCTGTGGAGCAGACATTCCCGAGGGCCAGCCGGGCAGGAGAAGCTGAATTCCACCAGCGCCTGCTGGTCAGACAAGCAGCAGATTGAGGCTGTGGCCATTGCGTGTTTGCAATCGTCCAGTTTGTGGGTCTAAGTTTCTGTAAGCTATAGAAAGTGTGTGTGTGTGTGTGTGTGTGTGTAAAACATACATAACATAAAATTTGCCATTTTAACCATCTCTAAGTGCACTCACAGTGCTGGGCAGCTGTCACCATTACCCATTTCCAGATGTTTTCCTTGTCTCAGACAAACTCTGGACCCATTAAACAACGGCTCCCCATTGCCCCGAATCCCTGGTAACTCTGTTCTTCTTTCTCTGTGACATACATGTTTTCAATTTAGCAGGATGTGCGCTTCCGTTCCAAATACTTCACAGAAGAGCTGAGAAGAATTTTTGTAGAGGACACGGACTCAGAGACAGAGGATTTTGAGGGGTTTACACAGAGTGACCTGAGTGTGAACAGTAACCCGGATGTAAAGGTAATAATTAGCAACATGAGGAAGGGTGGGCTGTAATTTTTTTAGTCCTGTTTCTGAATTGTGATTTTACTTGTAAGGAGTCACTTCACAAATGAAAAGATTTTACTTTTTCTCACGTTTATTTTTAAGCCAGTTAACAAAATATAAAAATGGCTATTCTAAGGTGAATCCGTGGTCTGCCAGCCCATTATTCCCTACAGAAAATTCAGTCGTCTTTCCCGAGTGCCTTTGGCATTGGGGGATGTGTCACAGGTGTCCCTTACTGTCCTTACTAAAGACTTTCTTGAATCTCTTAGCTGGAAAGAGGAGGGTCTATCTGGGCGTAACAGGTTCAACTCATTTCTTCTTGTGTGTAAAGTGATATTCTTGGGTTTGTGGTTAATTTGACAAATATTTAGCTGCAGCAGTCTTGGTGGTTTCCCTGTACAGCCTTGATTTGGAGGTTGATGTGCTTTTTAAAAAAATTTTTTTTTTAAGAGGGGAATGGAGAGGGAGAGAGAGAGTTTAGAGAAACATGGATGTGAGAACAGAGCCTTGACTGGCTGCCTCCTGCACGCCCCCCACTGGGGATCATGTACGCTGACTGGGAATCAGCCAACAGCTCAGGCCAGGGCTTGATGTGCTTTTAAAATTTTTCCTTTATTAATTTTTTTTTTTAATTCTCACCCGAGGACATTTTTCCATTTTTTGTACAGATAGAGTGGGAGGGAGAGAGAAGAAGAGAGAGAAACATCGACGTGAAAGGGACACATCGAGTGGCTGCCACCCACACGACCAACCAGTGCCGGGGACAAACTGCAACCGAGGTACACGCCCTTAGCGGGAACCGAACCCGGGTCTCTCTGGACTGCAGGCTGATGCTCTAATTGCTGAGCCAAACCTGCCAGGGCGCCTTTATTAATTTTTAGAGAGAGAGAGAGGTGGAAACATCAATGAGATAGAACAGCGATTGGCTGCCTCCTGCATGCCCCCCACTGGGGGTCCACAACCTGGGCATGTGCCCTGACCAGGAATCAAACTGGAGACTCCTTGGTGCCTGGGTCGTCACTCAAGCCGAGCCACGCCGGCCGGGCTGATGTGCTTTTTAATGAGAAGGATAACCCAGTGCCGACCTGTGGGCCCCCGCCCTCCCTGGCTTGCTTCATGCAGGCTGTTTGTATGGCAGCCATGTGTGCTGGCCCGCAGGTTTCCAGTTTTCGGCCCCAAGGCACTAAAATCCTTCCGAACCCTACAATGAGCATCATCGACTCTTGGTGTCTTGTGTATTTTCTGTTCTTTAGCTAAGTGATGTCTGGCTATGCAAAGAAGTTGTGTTTCCAGCACGGCAAAGTAAAATTACCCCCAAAGTCCCCCCAGTCTTAGCAATTTGGGGTATGAATTGTGACATGTTATGTGGACTCTCCTATAACTTACAGCTCAGAGCAGGTCCACCTCAAAATTTTCTTTTAAAATTTGGTGAGAAAACAAGAATTGCCGCCTCCCCACCCAACCTCCTGCGTACGCATGATGAGCCCACCTCCTCGGGTAGTAGGGTATCACTCTGCCTTGCTCCTAGTGGTCCCTAGCCAGAGGTGACCCAGCGCCAGCAGGTGCTGGCCCTGGCGGTGTTCCCCTCTGAGGGCCACTGGCATTTTCACAGTTTGCTCTTTCCCTACGTCAGCCCTTACTCTTACTAAGCTGCTCCACATCCTTGGCAAAGAGAGGTGGGTGGGTTAGGTGATGATTATGATAAATAAAGCCAGTCGGGCCCTGGCCGGTTTGGCTCAGCGGTTAGAGCGTCCGCCTGCGGTCCGGAGAGACCCGGGTTCGGTTCCTGCTAAGGGCATGTACCTCGGTTGCAGTTTGTCCCCGGCCCTGGTTGGTCGTGTGGGTGGCAGCCACTCGATGTGTCCCTTTCACGTCGATGTTTCCCTCTCTCTCTCTTCCTCTCTCTCCCTCCCACTCTGTCTGTACAAAAAAAAATGGAAAAATGTCCTTGGATGAGGACTAAAAAAAAAAAAAAATAAAAAAAAAATAAAATAAAATAAATAAAGCCAGTCGGGGGGATGGTTCCTCTGAGCTTCTCCAGCAGTGTCTCCTAAAATTGGATCCTTCTGCAGCCTACCATGTTCAATTCCAAAGCTACTAATGTAGAAGGTTCTGGATATTAAAAGAAACAGATAAATTAGTGCAGTACAGTTTTATTTCTCTGCCTGGCTTGTGGATTGGTACACACACCAGGGTTTGGAAGTTGTTGTAATTTTTCCCCTCTGCCTTATTTTTACTTTGAGTCCAGCTGGAATTTGGGGGTTCACTGGGTGAATCCCAGCCCATGCTGATGCTGCCTGCAGCTCTCTTCCCAGCAGCCCCATCGTCAGGGGTCCCCAGACTCAGCCTTCCAGCCTGTGGTCAAGGACAGATACCCAGGAGAGGTCCTCGATCCCGATAGTGAAGGCTCTTTCCATTATTGCCAGAAGTCCCCGCCATCTGAGCTGCCACCCTGCCCTTGCCGTCCGTTGTTGCTGTGTTCTTGTGTAGAACTGAGTTATGTTTTAATGCTGGAGGCCTATGCCAAGTGGAGTTCGAAACTGGGAGTGAGACCCTGACCTTGAACGTCTGCTATGAGCGCTATCTTAGTTCTGTCTCGTTTTGTCAGCTCGCGGAGTCTGACCTGAGCGACGGTGGCGAAGCATCGTTGGCGAGTGAGGACGACGACGATGAGGAGGAAAAGGCCACACCTGGGAGCAGCAGGCCCAGAAGAAGCAGCTTTGGTCTTCGCGTAGCCTTGCAGTTCCCCACCAAGAAACTGACCAAAACAGCCGATAAAAAGAATTCTTCTGAGCCACTGTTTTCCGGCTCACGCTTACAGGACAGTAAAAAAGCCATGCTTGGGAGAAAGAAAAGCTGCCGGCAGGGGAAGGAAAGGGAGGATTCTGCCTCGGAGCCTGAGGATGACTCCAGGGACGAGGCCCAGGAGAGCTCGGATGCGCTGCTGAAAAGGACCATGAACATCAAGGAGAACAAGGCCATGGTAAGGCCCGGGTGGGCACCCGGGAGCCGGCACAGGGCCCTCCCAGCCCTGCCCGGCTCGCAGACTGCGCCCTTCCAGCTCTGCGCTGGTGTCTCTTGGGAAATGCGCTCTGGGGACTGTGTGTCCTTTCTTTTATCCTGAACCCCTAGCAATTATTACCTGATAGCCCTGGTTTGGGAATAGAAAGAGACTCCCAGCACCATTTTTAGCCCCCTGTCGGGTGCCGTGAACTAATGCTGCTTATCGGGCGGAGTTCTAACTCTGTAGTGGTTTGGAGCTGAGAGCAGCTGGCCCCCTGGCCTGTTCCCAGCACAGGAAGCTGCAAATAAGATGCTGGGAGCCCACTTAAGAGCTGCAGTGTGCAGGTGAGGCAGGTATCGCGTTGCAACCCACAAGCCCTTCTGGATGACCTGCTGTGGTTTCAAGACATGATCTGAAGGAGTGAAACAGGTCTAGGCATTAAAACAGACAACTTTGGTCCTGACCAGTTTGGCTCAGCAGTTAGAGCGTTGGTCCGCGGACCAGAGAGTCCTGGGTTCGATTTCTGCTAAGGGCACGTACCTCGGTTGCAGTTTATCCTTGGCCCCGGTTGGGGTTGTGCGGGTGGCAACCAACCGATGTGTCTCTCTCATGTCGATGGTTTTCTCTCTCTTCTTCCTCTCTCCCTCCCGCTCTATCTGAAGATAAATGCAAAAATATCCTTGGGTGAGGATAAAAACACACACAAAAAAACAACTTTAAAATGGCTTTCCTCGAATAATTAATGGAACAAGGTGAAATCTGATGTATTTTTTCTGTACGTGGTCAATAAATGTTAGCATCATAATTCTGTATATACAGAATTTTAAAAAAATCTACCACTCATCATCACTTTTAGCATTTTGGTATTTGTTTTCCTTTAATGTTTTCTTTTTAAAAAGAGTCATGTAATGAGACTGTATATACAATATTTTATGTCTGATGAGTTACTTAAGAAAATATAAAGCTTACTTTTGGATGAAATTTATCCTAGAACACATTTGTGCTTATTATCAGCTAATGGAAAATTTAACACTGTGTCTGCATCTTTAAAATAGGAACTGCGTTCTTCATGATCTTTTAGTGACACCTGTCCCTTTGTATAAATCTATAACTAAAAAGAATCCTAATGAAATTGCATGGTTTGCATATTAACGGCTATTACTTGGTGGTGTTAGGTGTTTATTTGGAAATATTTTCGAAAATTATTTTCATTGATGAGAACTTAACCAACTTAGTTTTGGGGAGCTCTAAATGACTGTCAGAATAATCTGGTACAATCTCTTATGTTTTGAACATCATGTTATGATGAAACTTGATTCAAATGCAAACAGTGTTCCAGGGTCACACTGCTAATTAGTGACCCAGTCAGGATTCTAACCTGGGGCTCCAGGTCTTGGTCATTCCAGGACAGTTTTCAACTTGTCATGCTCTTATACATAAGGAATGGGCATCAATTCTATTCCTATGGATGATGATACCAGCATCTCACCTCCGGAGATGAAAATCTTTACACATGAGGTTCAAGTGGTAACTGGGGGCTCTTATGTAAACTACATTGGTCAAGTTTCTCATGGCTGCAGAACTGAAGACTTGTGATAAAGGTGTTAGATGAACGAGACTTGGGAATACTTATGTACGATCCTTTCTTTGTTCCAAACTTCAGCTTGCTCAGTTGTTGGCAGAATTGAACTCAATGCCAGATTTGTTCCCAGTACGAACCCCGAACTCGGCTTCTGTAAGTGGCACCCCTTATGATTGTTTATTCCGGTACTGATGCACCTAACCGATCGCCAGGTGGCTTGTATTGCAGAGGGCACCCAGCTGCCATGTCTGTGCTCTTTCAGAAGAAGAAAACCATGCGGCGGGCCTTCTCGGAGGGGCAGATCACCAGGCGCATGAACCCCACCCGGAGCGCGCGGCCGCCCGAGAAGTTTGCTCTGGAGAACTTCACTGTCTCCGCGGCCAAGTTTGCAGAAGAGTTTTACAGCTTCAGAAGAAGGAAGACGATCAGTGGGGTACTTTCTGACCGTAGTAAACAAATGGGTCTTAGTCTGACATCAGCATTCATCACAGTCACTGCAGGCCTTGTTCAACGTGCCCCATAGGTCTGCAGCAGCTGAGGACTTTCCTTTTCATACATTCCCCGGTGGTGCTGGTGCTCCTGGGACCACCCTTTGAGAAGAAGCCCTGGTCTAAGCGTAGGCCCCGGGGAGAGGCCTCTCAGCCCCACGGAGGAGCAAAGCAGCTCAGTGGTTAGGAGCCCCAGCTTGCTCTCCAGGGGAGGAATACAGGCCTGTCAGCGGCTCTAGTCAGCTTTGTGGCTTGGCTTTGGGGGGTAGAGAGATTCCTCTGAGCCTCTGTTTTGGCAACGAGGCATTTCAGGTGCCTTCAGTCAGGAGGGAGAAACTCTGGACTCTTCCCGTTTGTGGGTTTGGTTATTCGTGGTGGTTCAGGTCCTGCCCTGAGAGTGGACAGCAGGTGCCGTGTATGGGCCAGGTAACACCCGAGCCTCGCATTGGTGCCCTGTCCCCGTGCCGTGAAGGACCCTTGGCACTGTGGCAGGAGCTCAATAAATGACTCAGTGAAGGAATGATTTCAGGAAAATAGAAGAGGGACTTAATTAACACTAATTAATGGTGGTCGAACTCTGAGAGTTTAAAATTTTAAAAAAAATTGTTAACCGCTCAGAACTTCTGATGACAGTTCCGTTTTGTCTCCTCTGGCAGGGGCGATGCCAGGGGCACAGGCGGCGTCACCGGATGTCTTCTTTTCGGCCCGTGGAGGATATCACCGAAGAGGACTTAGAAAATGTTGCCGTGACTGTTCGCGATAAAATCTACGATAAAGTTCTGGTAAGTCCCACGATCACTGGGACTCCAGGGCACTAGTATTGCTTGTGAACTGTGTGTGGCCCCACCCCGGGGCCACCCCCGGGCGAGTGGGCTCTGCGTTGGGCCCGCAGGAACGGGAAGGGGAGGCAGCTTGCTGCGGGAATTCTCATCGGGAGAGGTTTCCGTGGGGCCGCAGGCGGCTCATGTAGGAAAACATTTATTATTGTAACAGTTGAAATATTTGTGTACTTTCTAGTTACTGTAACCATTGGAGCCGCGGTTGAGCCGCGGTTTGAGAGATGGTTGGTGGGAGGCGGGTACAAGGTCTTTCCGACAGTGGTTTGGAGGGCAGCTTTGCAGAGGTGCCAGCTGAGGAGTGGGATCGGGAGGGGCAGCCGTCTTCAGGTAGTATTCAACTGTTCTTCATTGCCAGCCTTTTAAAACCGGGAGGTTTTTATACTGAGAACATCCAGATCACCAGGAACCCGGGCCACTGCCACTCTGTCACCCTGCATGGGCTGCCCCCCTCCTGTGTACCAGGCTCCTGAGGGTGCCATGGTTTCCTTCCGAGAAACACTACTGCCCACCTCGGAGGGGGGCTTTGTGCACGTCACGGCCTCGTGGGCATCACCGCCTTCTCCCCTCAGGGTAACACGTGCCATCAGTGTCGGCAGAAGACCATCGACACCAAGACGGTGTGTCGGAACCAGAGCTGTGGCGGGGTGCGGGGCCAGTTCTGTGGGCCATGCCTGCGGAACCGCTATGGGGAGGACGTGCGGTCAGCACTGCTGGACCCGGTAGGAGCCGCGTGCACACTTGTCATGGAACGTGTTGGCAGAGGGAAGCCTGCAGGTTGGGCTCCCGGGCCCTTTGCCGGAGCTCTGCAGAGCCCTCAATCCTCTGTCCCCCTTCTGCAGCTTAAGCACCATCAGCTGGTCAGGGCAGCAGACCAGATGCACTGGGTTTTCCGGGGCCAGCCAGGCGTTCTTACAGTCGTCAGGTTCATCCAGGTGCTGCTTTCTGTGCCCAGCACTGCCCTAAGGTCTCACATCTGTGAATGCAGTTTACTTTATGTCACTTGTTATTAACTCATTTGCCCTTAGGAAGTAGGAATATAACCTCCCTAAGGTTCCGCTTTTCTGTACAATGAGAGTAGTAGCATGGTTAGTAAGTATGACCTTGAACCCGGGCATTCTGTGCTCTTACACAGCCGTCAGAGGGGTAGATGTACCGTCCCCAACTTGCAGGTGACTGTAAACTGCCACGGGTTATGTGATTTAATGACAGTCACACAAATGGGGAGTGGAAAAACTAATCTTACCCTCCACTCTCACTGACCTTCTAGAAACCCCTGCTCCTGAAACCGGGCTGACTTCCTGGGTGTGTGAGCCTGGGCCTTACACTTGATCCAATACTCTGACATTCTCCACAGTTTCGAGCAGGTGTCTGTCTGCTAGTTATGTTAACTGGTCCTGCCTAAAACCAACATGTTTCAGTGTTTCTCCATGTGTGACTTTGGGTGATCGGCTTTCTGGGCCTTTTGAAACCCCTAAGAGGAAGGAGACAGGTCAGCTAACCCCTCCACCCCCCCGGGACACATGAAAAGGGAACACGTGATTAAAGACTGGAGGAGAGGGCAGCTGAACCGGGCTTGATAACACGGGAATTTCTGCTGCTCTCCCTCCCAGGAGTGGGTATGCCCTCCCTGCCGTGGGATCTGCAATTGCAGTTACTGTCGGAAGCGTGACGGCCGCTGCGCCACAGGGATCCTCATTCATCTGGCCAAGTTTTACGGTTATAATAACGTCAAGGAGTATCTGGAGAGGTGAGTCTCACAAATCAAAACAGGTCGTAATCCTGGGTCCAGCGGGCAGCTCCTCCAGGCTGATTCTTCCAAACTACCTTGAGTGCCACCCATTCTGTATCTCTCTGCACTGGAAAGACTCGGGGCTGACGGTTTCCCTGTTAGGAGAGTCCTCTCCTGGGAGGATTTTCAGCTTGGGACTGCGTGTATCCAGTTTCCCCTTATGGCACAAAGCAGAAATGGAGCATACAGGGCAGGCTGAGGGCCAGAGAGGAGAGCTTTGAGCAGGAGGTGGAATTGTGGTCCACAGCAAACTCGGAAACAGTTTCAGAAGGGGACAAGGCCTAGCTGGGGCCTGCCCAAACACCAGAAAAGTCCAGTTTGGGCCTTGTACTCACAGGGCTGCTGAGCCTAGAATGCTACTTTGCCTTTTCCTCCCTCCCATTAACTGCTTATCATGTCCCATCTTTTCTCAGCTTACAAAAGCAGCTGGTGGAAGACAATTAGAAAGAAGAGCCAGCTCACCTTTGCGTACTCAGCGCGACACGCCCTACGTACCATTTGTGCCTAAGATGTCTTACAGTTGTGTTTTTATACAGAAATTCTTTGTAGATCTAAATACTATTTTTTTTAAGATTGTTTATATGCGTACAAAGATTTCTCAGGAAGACAGCTGAGGAATCTCTATCCCTGTACACGCAGGACTGTTTGAATTGTTACAAGTATCTGCAGATGGTTATAAAGCACAGTTTAAGTTCAGATTAGTCCCAGAGGAAACATTGCATAAGTAGCTCTTGCCTTTGACACTGTTTGATTATAGATGCTGCCTTGATCCATTACCTCCCAAACAGTCCCTCTAGGTCAAGTTGTTACAGGGGTTCCATCCCCTTTAATTTACCTTATTTTGATCATAGTTCAAACCACATACTTGAACCTACTCTGGGTGATTGACGATTTATATTGAAGAATGTTCCCCTAAATTACAAAGTGTAACTAACCACAGGTGGAAGTACTAGCGTTTTCTTGTTTATTAAAACTTGAATGAACAAAACGTGGACGGTCCCGTTACCCACACTGGAGGCCGCAGTGTCCACCTCTCCATTTGGGACTACCTGGGGCCCGTCGCTTCTGTATTTTCAAAGCCTGTAAGAATTTTTAATTTAAAAAGATTTTGTTTAGTATCTTACAAGAACTAAAATCCTACTTGCTGACCAGGAGACTTCAACCCCATTGTTTTCGAGGTTGTCTTTTCCTTGGAGCCTTGATGACAATGGGAGTCTCCTTCCTGTGCTGTGGGATGAGTCCTGGGGGAAGCTAAAATGAGAACACATTCTGACTAGGTTTCCAGTCTGTCTACATTTGCTTCTTTCCCATCTTTACTTTTTAAGGATGATGTGTAAAAAAAAAAAAAAATTAATGCAGTTCCTTAAAAGTCACAGAAGCTGGAATGTTTTGTGCCTCTCAGTAGAGTAAATTGGCATGCATGAGAACAGTGCGGTGACAGAAGTCCTCGCTGTGTTCCGGCGGAGGAACGAGCCCCACCTACGCCTCCAGCAGCAGAGCCACGCCTGCCAGGACCCACTTGGCCGTCTTCTCTTGGCTCCTCAGCCGGAAGGTCCAGACGTAGTTGGGGCCCCTCATTTTGGTCTTGAACACAGGGCACGCGTAGGTGTGCTTGGTTTCCTGTCTCTCCACGGGTATGGCCTTGACGCAGATGACAGGCATCGCCGACGTCAGCTCCTTGAGATGGGCTTCGGCGATGCTCCCTGCCTGGGTGTCCCATCTCGCTCCTGCGGCAAAAACACAAGGCACGTTGGGATTGATCTCGTAACTGTCGCAGGCAATAAACGTTCGCTTTTGTCACGTTACTGCTTGTCAGTGGCTTCCTTACTGAGCTGGCCCACGCCAGCAAGGTCCGTGTGCACGTGGTAAGCAGACCATTGCTCCCGTGCCGAACACCTAAACTCTTAGGAAAAGGAAACTACGTTTGTGAAAACAGATTGCATAACAATCCAGACACACTAAAACAAACTAGTTTGCCCTCCTTAAAAAAAAAAAAGCATTTGAATGCTTATAGGGAGTGTAAGTCTCCAGGTAACCACCTGTCTCCCCACCAAGTTCAGAAACCTCATCTACATCATTGGATCTGTCTTGAAACCCTTTCTCTAGAGCCGCGGTACTCAACTTGGGGTTGAATGACCCTTTCACAGGGGTCGCCTAAGATATAACAGTAGCAAAATTACAGGTATGACGTAGCAACGGAAATTATGTCATGGTGGGGGGCACCACAACATGAGGCACTGTGTAGAGGGTCGCGGCCTGAGGAAGGTTGAGAACCGCTGCTCTAGAGTGAAAAGGAGCGTCCTGACCGACGAGGACCGCACCCCTGGCCGTGTTCTTTAGGATAAGGAGAGGTCCTGCCGAAAAAATGCATGTGGTACATTCGGACAGCACTGCACACCCCCAGGGCCCTCCCCTTCAGAGCTAGAAAGGCTTGGGGAGTCTTGCAGTACAATAGTCTGAAAAGTAGAAGAAAGATTTTGAATTGGTTATATTGAAAAGCACAACAATATAAGTTCAGTGAGGGTTTTAAATGATCCCGTGGTGTTAACAGTAGCTACATGTGCAAATTTAAGCGAGAGCCATCACCCCAAATGCCTTAAAATTTGGCTCACTTGGACACATCCTGGCGTTGAAATTTTTAAAAAGCAGGAAATGATGTAAATTCCCACTAACGTGAGTGAACGCTGAGAAACAATACACCAAGGGCAAATATAAGTTGAACCTGAGTAAAGGTCTTTCATCGAAGAACCTCACGTGTCCTCCTTGGGGCGTCTTACCTTCCATGAAGAGCCCGTGCAGATACGCGCCTTCCCTTGGGGGGTGACCGTATTCTTCCTTGGTTTTTTTGGTCACGTCAACTGTCAAGCACATTTTATCCAGTGGCCACGCGTGTTTTCGAGCCGTGGCCTGCATGACTGCTGTGGGAAGAGAAGGGACAGGAATGGTATGAAGTCGTACGGGAAGCTCCCGCAGCCACCAGCAGGCGGAGCGTGGACTCACGTGCGCTGGTCCCACTCGGTGTTCCCGCCCCTGCGTGTTGCACATGGCTGTATAAGCAACATGGGCAAACTAAGGCCTGCAGGACATGAGCTTGGGCAGGTACAGCCAGGCCCATTTGGGGAGTGCCTCTGAGGGTGCCTGGGCACTGTCGGGGCACAGGGACGCCCTGTGGGAGAGACCGGCTCTTAGCAGAAAACATTTGCTTGGAGGAACCACCTCACTCGGCTGCCCCTGGGCCGCCTCCCTCGCGCTGCTGTGCTGCCCAGAGTGTCACTTCCTCGGTCTCTCCTACACCTGTTCTGTCATGAGGCCTGGCGACCGGGGTGGAGAGCCACGCACAGGTGCAGGTCTGCTAGAAGTGGGTTCTGGGCGTCAGACTTTACCAGTTAAGAAAGACTGGGGGTTGAAGAGGCCAGAGAGCCACACCACCGCCGGAAGGGCGAGATCTTGGGTCCAGGTATCCAGCTCTCGGCATCGCAGAAGGAGGTCATTAAACCTGGTGAATGGAAGGCGGGAAGAAACCAGCTTGCTTTGAGTGGTACAGAAGTTTCCCAATAAGATGGAGTGAGTAGATTCTGGGGAAGGCTGGCGGTAGGAAAGTACACCGCTGAGAACCGGGGAAACCGTTACCTGAGCATTCACAGAGTGTTGTACCTTTAAAGGGCTAGATTTTTTTTCCAGTGGAGATTTCATACCTTACAACTGTTACCATTAGGGACAAGTTAACACTGGGGAATATGGACCATTTGTCTCCATTTACTCAACAACTGTTTAGCTCATAGTGCTGTGTGGTGACTACACTCGTGATCATGTGTCGTCTGGGCTGACAGGTGCTAACATGGGACATGGAGGACATACAGGGCGCGAGGGGGAAGGCACAGGAGGGACCGGCCGCCTGTGTCGGGAGGGGACGGCTGCTGTGATTGGTAATAGACCAGAGTTGCCAGGAAAGGCAGAGGCAGGAGAACGTGACTGGTCTTCCCACATGCAGTAATTCCCTGAGAGCAGGGGAGGTTATTACAGTTACTTGGTCTGTTGCATGTCTGCGGTTTGAGAAACGGCTGTCACACAGGTCCCCGAATCTCAGCTGCATGATGCGAGGCAGGAAGGATCTGCGGTTTACCTACGAGGAAGCTGCCTCACGGAGGCTGAGGAAAGGAATGTCCTGGATAAAATCAGGAGACGGGTGAAACCTCGAAGTGTAGGCTTCAGGGACATCACAGTCATGGGAAATGGAGCACACAGAAGACAGCCAACATAAGAGCCAGAAGAAGGTTCTCCAAGGGCGAGGGCCGCTCCAGCCAGCCCCGAGGTTTTCTGGGACCTGGTCTGGCTCAGAGTTGCAAAGGAAGCAGGGTCGAGTGAAGAATCATCCCCACAAACCACCCTGCAGGAAAGGGCTGCCTGAGATGGGTCACCCGAAGGACAGTTCCTGCTGGCTTAGAACACAGCCCTGTGCCCGGCCCCGGGTTCCAGATCGCTGGTTTAGGGAAGACATACTTGAAGATGGGTAACACAGGGAAAAGGGGAAGACCAGGGACAGCAAGGATGGAGAAAAGCTGCCTCAAAAGGTTGTAGAGGATAAATATTAACAGCCACACCACTTGCAACAAGTTTTTAAAAAGGAAATGATTACTTGTATGGCCAAGGTCATGGATTAGAAGTGATCAGGTAGGAAAAAGGGAATTAAGTTGGAAGATCTCAGGAGTGGAGAAAACTGATAAAAATGGAAGCAAAACATGAAGCAGCATAAGGTAGGATAATTTTTCAAAGCAAAAAATAAATAAAGAGTGAAACTAACATGAAAGTGGAAACAACATATGTTTACTAATACAATCCTAGAAAATCTGAGTTCCTAGATTACAAATTTGAATCTGTGCAGTCAAGGACACTCTGGGTTTCAAGAAAATTTGGCAGCAGAATAATCAGTACTATGATATATCTTAACATAAACTGAAGATAGAGAATCCCCAAGTCCAGAAAAACTTGAAGTCTTTTATAAAGGGGGAAAAAGTCACGTGAGCTTCCGATGACGCCACAGCAGCATTTGGTCAGCGGCGAGAGCAATGCTGACGAAGCCCTCCAGCAATGAATGGGTTAAATGTTTTTTCAACCAGCTCAACTGTCACGTGAGTGTAAAGAACAGATTATATGGCATGAAAAGCCACCAGCACATCTAGCAAACAAGAGAGTTGAGAAGTCAGGAAATAAAAAGAGGAATCTAAAGAAAGAAAGAAAGAAAAAAGACTCTGAAGAAGTATGTTTAAACTCCTGAGAAAGCAAAAGAAAAGTCATAAAAACAGGAAATTAGGAAACTAGGTCAAGTACCTCCTTTACCCCCCATCCCCAATATAAACATTTGGAACTGAAAACTGATTTGAGACAGTGAACATTTCAAAATGAGAGGATAAATAGCAGAAACTGAAGATATAATGAAGATCACCCAGAACTGAAAAAAAATCAACCAGAATACAGCAGATACAGGTGAAATATGAGAGTTCAGTTAGGTGAATATAATGAAGGGAACGGAGAAGGCAATATTTGGAGGAATAAGGGTTAAGCATTTTTCAGAGTGGAAATAAAAGGTGGACTCAAATTTGTAACAGCACAAAGTACCAAATAGGATACATTTTAGTTTTTTTATTTTTTTGCATTTATCTTCAGATAGAGCAGGAGGGAAAGAGGGAGGAGGAGAGAAACATCGATGCGAGAGAGACACATCAAGTGGTTGCCACCCACACAACCCCAACCAGGGCTGGGGACAAAGTGCAACTGAGGTACGTGCCCTTAGCAGGAACCAATCCCGGGACTCTGTGGTCCGTGGCCAACGCTCTAAGTGCTGAGCCAAACTAGTCAGGGCATAGGATACATTTTTAAAAGCCCACAGCTAAATACTGCAGTAAAATTGTAGGACATCAAGCGTGAAGAGAAAAAGCTTAACTTCCCAGAGAACAGATGAGCTGTGAAGGTATATTTAAGAACAGACTCGTTAACTATAATAAATGCCAGAAGACAATGGAGTTATGCCACTCAAACTCTGAAAGCAAATCATTTCCTAGAATTCTCCACATGGGGAAACTATTAATCAAGATTGAAAGCGCAGTGAAGAGACTTCAGACACAATACCACTGACTCCCACCACATCCAACAAAAGCCTGGTATGTTCTATTCTTTAACGGAAAGGAAAGGGGTTCAGAACAAAGGGGTGCAGAATGAGACGCCAGAAAAGCGACAATGAGCCGAGAAATCAATATATGTTTTTAAAGCAGAAATAATTATGGACTGTAAACAAAACCAAAAGGCTGTGTGTGGTTTAACAGAAGTTGAACTACAAGTCCAGACCGGAGGAGGCTGGTGCTCAGAGAGCCGTTAAAGTATCTACAGGAAAAGTGTTGATGACATTGTGTTAGAAAAATAAAAAGTGTGCATGTTACAATGTAAAGTGTCTCCACTAAAATAATAGGAACTGTACAGGGATAAGCACAAAATAAAGAAAACTGTTAAACCCACAGGAGTCAGGAAAGGTTGGGGGAAAAAGTCAAGAAATATAGTAATTAGAAACCACAAAATAAGATGGTGAAAATAAACCCCAAATTATTAATATAAACTTTAAGGGTAACTATAACTATTTTTGGTTGGAAATATAAAGTCAGACGGGTATGCATGGATTTGGCCAAGGCAGGGACAGGCTCTGCTTTGTCGTCCCTGCTGCCGTTGGTGGCGTGTCCACGTGCACCTGCCATTTGTGTCTCCACATGGCCACTCAGCACACACCTGAGTGCCTGGGGGGCTGTCAGCGTGCCGTCATTCGGAATTCTCACGGGACCTTCCAGTGTGTGGCTCCGAGTAGCATTCTCGTTTATGGGAGGAAGATTCGGGAAAGTGAGGGCGAGTATCTCTGTACTGAACAGTCAGGAGAAGGACGGAGAACCTTATGAAACCGTCTGTTTTGACAACCAAGGCCAAGGAGCGGCTGGAGACAATGCGTGCTCAGGGAGCTGCGATTCTCTGTCCCTGGCTAGGTGACACATCTCTGCAGTCACAGGCGCATGCGGGACAGTCGGATTGATGACATACCATACCACTTTTGCCAGGAGATGGCACTAGTAATCACTGGCTTTGGGAATGAGGGTATAGAGACTGCTGGTCAAAATGGCAGAGAAGGGAAACTGGTCCCTTCTCCGGTGACCACATGATTACAACTAAATTACAGAACCACCTGAAGACTAGCTGAACAGACTCCTACAACTAAGGACAGAAAGAAGCTACATAGAAACTGGTAGGAGGGGCAGAAATGGGAAAGGGGCTGGTCTCACACCCACGTGTGGCAGTTAAGAATCAGGAGGAGTAGCTCTGGCCGGTTTGGCTCAGCAGTTAGAGCATCGGCCTGCGGTCCAGAGAGACCCGGGTTCAGTTCCCGCTAAGGGCATGTACCTCGGTTGCAGTTTGTCCCCAGCCCTGGTTGGGTTGTGCAGAAGGCAGCCACTCGATGTGTCCCTTTCATGTCGATGATTCTCTTTCTCTCTTTTCCTCCCACTCTATCTGAACAAAAAATGGAAAAATGTCCTCGGGTGAGGATAAAAAAATCAGGAGGAGTATCTTGGCTGATGTCTCCCATGAGGAGTGAGGGGTCCCAGTCCTTCTCTGGGCTCCCAAGCCCGATGCTCCAGTGCCGGGAAGAGGGGTCCCTATAACATCTTGCTGTGAAAATCATCGGGATGTTGCCCAGGGGAGCCTGGCGGAGTCCCAGGTGCCTCCCAGAGGGCCCGCGCACAGACTTGCTGGCGGGCACGCGCGCTCTGAGCCCCGGCTGAGCAGCAGTTCGGAAGCATGGGACACACCCCAGAGGAGCGGAGGCAGGAGGGCAGCTCTCTCCAGGACCGAAGTGCCACTATTCCACATCCGAGTCTCCGTCAACCTGGCTACCAGCCCTTTATCTACCCTGGTGATTCTCTGAAACCCCCGCCCCACCCAAACCACAGCCCCGACAAACCTCTTCGAGAGACAAATCTGCACAGGCCTGGGCCTGGGCCTGAACTGTGGTCTTGCCTAAAATCTCTCAAAGGTCCACAAACCCCAAATAAGCAGCGGCCGGCCTCAACGTGCCCTATACCTCTTGCTAAGTGGCCCCAAGCCTGGCACTAGTGACACCTGGCCTCAGTTCACAGAATAACCAGCCCCAGCACAGGCAGCTACCAACCGCAGATCACTCTGTTGCTCCTACTCGGTGGCCCTGGGCTGGACACACGCAGCAGCTGACCTTGGCCTGCATCAGAGCCCCTCCCAAGAGGCCCTGGAACCAACACACCTGGTGGCCAGCTTCAGACGGTTCCAGAACTCCACCCGATTAGTGCCACAACCGACACACCCAGGGGGAGGACAGCAGGCACCAGAGCTCTGCTAAAGCAAATCCCGACGGCGGGGTCAGCCCCCACACAAGGGCTTGTCCACAGTCGGCCAGTCTGCACAGCCAGCCAGCCCGAGGGTCAGCCCCACCCACTGGTGTGCCAACAGCAATGAAAGCTCAACTCCACAGAAGGACACACAACCCGCCCAAGGACAGCCTGGAGCGCCCGGCTCGGGTGAACAGGGAGACTGTGCCACGGGGCCCGCGGGACAGCTGCCACACAAACCCGCTCTGCCGAATGCACAGAAACAAACACGGAGACCAAGACGGGGACGGACCTGTCCCAAATGAAGGAAAACAAAACTCCAGGAGAAGAACTATGTGAAAGGCAAGCAACCCACCAGACACAAAGCTCAGAGCACTGTTAGGAGACAAAGGCTGAAGACAGAGACTCTTTCGAGCAAGAAGAGAAAAGCAGTTCGTTATCTACAAGGGAGCTCCCCTGAGACAGCCCGCTGATTTCTCCACAGAACTTTCCAGGCCAGAACATATTCAAAGTGATGAAAAGCAAAGATCTACAACCAAGACTACTCTACCCAGCAAGGCTCATTTAGAATCAAAAGATGGATAAAGAGCTCCCCAGACAAGAAAAAGCTAAAGGAATTTATCATCCCCAAACCATTATTACAAGAAATGTTCAAGGGACTTTTTTAAGGAGAAAAAATAAAACGTGAAGAAAATATCACAAAGTAAAAAACATTCTCACTGATAAAGGCAAACACATGAAATCAGTGGATCAACACCCTTAAAGCTAGTAGAAAGGTTCAGAGGCCGAAGTAGGAAGATCATGGGTAATTACAATGGTACATTAAGGGATACACACAAACACACCAAAGAAGTAAAAAATATGACTAAAAAATAAACATGGAGGAGGCAAGTAAAAATGGTAGTGATTTTAAAATGTTTGAACTTAAGTGACCATCAACTTAAAATAAACTGCTATAAACATAGCTGGGTATATATGAACCACGTGGTAACCACAAACCAAAAATCCACAGGTGTTACACAAGAAATACAGAGAAAGGCATCTGCTATAGAAAATCATGAACATACAAAAGAAGAGAGCAAGAGACGAAGAACAGGAAAAACTACAAAAACAATTTAGAAAACAATAAAAAGTACATACTTAGCAATAAATAACTTTAAATATAAATGGATTAAGTGCTCCAATCAAAAGACAGGTAGATAAAGAAGCACAGCCAATGGAATATTACTAGGCCATATAAAGGAGTGAACTCTTACCGTTTGCAACAACATGGATGGACCTAGAGGGTGTTATGCTAAGTGAAATAAGTTAAAGACAAATACCATATGATTTCACCTATATGTGGAATCTAAGAAACAAAATAAATGAATAAACAAAACAGACTCATAGATCCTGAGAACTGATGGTAGCTAGATGGGGCTTAGAGGAGCTGGGTAAAAAAGGTGAAGGGTTGGCCTGGCCGGTTTGGCTCAGTGGTTGAAACATCAGCCCGTGGACCAAAGAGTCGTGGGTTCGATTCCAGTCAAGGGTACGTACCTCAGATGCAGTTCGGTCCCTGGCCCTGGTCAGGGTTGTGCAGGAGGCAACCAGTCGATGTGTCTCTCTTACACTGAAGTCTCTCTCTCTCTCTCTCTCTCTCTCTCTCTCCCTCCCTCCCACTCTATCTGAAGATAAAAAATAGAAAAATATCCTCGGGTGAGGATTATAAAAAAAAGGTGAAGGGCTTTAAAAAATCTAAATTGGTACTTACAAAATAGTCAGGGATGTAAAATACAGCCTAGGGAATATAGTTAATAATATCGATAAAACTATATATAGTGTCAGGTGGATGCAAGACCTGTTGGGGAGATCACCTCATAAGTGATACATGTCTACTATGCTGTACATCCGAAAGTCATACAATATTGAAAATCAACTGTAATTGAAATTTTGAAAAAATTAACACGAAGAACTGCAAGATGGAGAGAGGCCAGGTACTGAAAACCTAAGCCCCTGGTCAAGCAAAGTCTGAAGCTGGAACTGCCCTTGGGATTTTCAGTCATATAAGCCACTAAATTCTGTTTTACTTAAAAAATAAAAAAGGAGGAAAATGAGGGTATATTTTGACATCAGAGACAATTCATGTTGTCTTCAATGGCCATAACCACTCAACAAGGGAATTCTATCATCTATCGTTTTCACGTGACAAAATGAGAAATTTGGTCAGGTATTTTGTCCAAGATCATCAGCTAATAAGTAAGAGGCAGACTCTGAATCTTGCTCTGACCTTGACTTTTCATGGGTTTCTGCTTTGGAAGCAAAGCCACACACTAAGGAAATTCTAGTGAAACCCGTGGTAGTTCACACAGTTGACGAGCATAGTCACAAAGCACAGTCTTTACAGCTCTTCTGGGCTAATAGTCACTCAGAACAATGAACAAGCACGAGGCAGACAAGGGCCAGTGGGAGCAGGCCGGGGTAGCTTACCACTGGGCCAGGCCGTAGGTAGATGGATACGCCAGTTTGCTCCAAGTGTCCGGTACCGTGTCATAACCCAGGGCGGACTGGTGGGCTTCCACAGAAGGAGATAAGGTCAGCTCCCCCTTGCACAGAGAAAAAAGGCCACGAGTCACTATCTGCCAATGCGGGAGGCTCGCTCTGGCTCCACTCCAACTCACCTTCAAGCCAAGCTCCAACTGCTGCAGTGACCCACGGATTTCCCGGAGGAGGAGATTCATCCTCTCACATTCTTGGAAGCAAACAAGAACATAGGGGCTTCTGTTTGTGGTTTTTTGCGTGATCTCTACCATGTTGAACTCTTCTGGGAGTTTTTCCAAAATGTCATCCAAGATGTTCTTAACCTTAAATCATCAGCACACAAAGATTTAGCTCCTTTCTATTTCATTTTTGGTCACAGTGACTAAATACATCATTTTTTTTTTAGTCCCAGAATACAAACATAGTATTCCACTGCCAAGACACTTGCTAATGGATTTCAAAGATGCCCCCCACTCCCAGAGGTGGGCCGAGTGGCACTGCCAGCCCCCCAGCATCACAGTAGCCCCCTCCTCCCTCCTCCAGGTCCCTCCAGGGAGCAGCTTCTATTTGCAGTTCATTTAGTATTAACACGCAGGGAATATAAGATCTGTCATCAACTACATTTCGTTTGTATGTAAAAATACAATCAGGAAGAAGAACTCCAATATTTGGGTATATTACATTCTATAATATGTTAATTTAGTCATTTAAAATGTCACACGAACCAAGGAGGCCCTTTAAGCTTGAGCTAATTCTGGTGACTGATACTGCTCTCTGACATATCCTAAAATTTTGGGAGCAACTTGGTCAACATTTTTCACAAGGGAAGCTCTATCTTCTATAGTCGTTGCCCTGAAGAAATAAAACATTTATACACTGGAGACATGAATGGTTTTGTAGTTCTCCAATGTGCGTACTTGTTCCGTGTGAGTAGTTTCATGGAGCCGTGGAAAATCAACAAATACCTACAATGGACAAAAGACTGAGCAGGATTGCCTGTCTTCAGCCTCAGATGTCTTTCCCTCTTTTCTCCTTTTCCTTGATTTCTCAGGATTACTGCCTGTGGTTCTGACCATGTCTGCAAGTTGCTATAGCACCCTGGCAGGTAAATTGTCAGGTTCCAGAATCTTAAACTCATTTACAACAGCAGTAGAGAGTACACAGTGTCATAGAGAAATTGGGTAAAAGAATGGCTTTTGGAATCAGCTAGATTTGGTTTCCTCCACTGGCCCTTGCCAGCTGCTTGGCCTCGGGGTGTTGCCTAGGGTTACCTCTGACACAGCGTCCTGATACTACTCAGCGCTTCCTCTAGTGCCCAGCAAAAGCACCCGATAGAAGGTTGTTGCTACAATCTGCCTGTTTGGGGTGTCGAGGCATCTTGACCTCATTTGCTTTGCATTTTCTGGTTTAATGATCAGTTTCGTTGTTGGAAAGACTAAAATCCAAAAACTAGATGAAAACCTCATCCATTCTGCTTCTATTCACAACTACAGCTTTTCCCACACGGGTGCATTTTTTACCTTGTTCACCCTCTTTTAAACAAATCTAACAGTCACATAGGGAAGATGTTAATATATGGGACATAACAACTTACAAAAAATTCTACAGTTCCTAAATTATGAACAAGTTTCTCAACAAATGGCCTTATTTCAAGAAATAATTGAAACAGTTCAAGAAGTAATACTGAAAGTTCCTGGGACCTTCCCATAATTCGGTCTGATGGTTACTGTGTTAACATTATATCCCTTGCTCCGCAATTCCACTTCTGAGCGTGACTATTAAGAGTGGGTCCCGCCCTGGCCAGTTTGGCTCAGCGGTTAGAGCGTCGGCCTGCGGTCCAGAGAGACCCGGGTTCAGTTCCCACTAAGGGCACGTACTTCGGTTGCAGTTTGTCCCCGGCCCTGGTTAGTCGTGCAGGTGGCAGCCACTCGATGTGTCCCTTCACGTCGATGTTTCTCTCTCTCTCTCTCCCTTCCTCTCTCTTCCTCCCACTCTATCTGTACAAAAATTGGAAATATATCCTTGGGTGAGGATAAAAAAAAAAAAAAGAGTGGGTCCCTTTGGGAGTTACCTTTGTCTTTTGACAAAAGACTATACAAATATAGTTCATGGCTGTGATATACATGATAGTGAAAAACTAGAAACAACCCAAGCATCCATCCTCCGTAGGTTAAAGCAGTGTATATTCAGATAACAGAAAACTAAACAAAATGAACCACTGGTCTATGCACAACATGGATACATCCCACAGATGTCCTGTGGAATAGAAGGAGCCAGACGTTAATGAGAGCACGCTGTATGGCTGCATGTATCTGACGTTCAAACACAGGCGAAGTGAATCTGTGCGACAGAGGTAAGCGGAGTAAGGTTACCTTTGGGCTGGAGGGGGGGAGTACTGACCAGTAAGGGGCGTGAGTATCCTTCTGGAGCATGGAAATAGTCTGTATTTTGACCTAGGTGGTCACATGGGTGTATACACCAGTAAAAACCCACTGCGTTCTACACTTCAGACTAGAGAATCTCACTATATATACATTATGCCTCAACAGCGAAGAAGAGAAAACCCTCTACCTTGTCTTCTGCGGCCTGCGCCTGCTCCTCACTGCCCAGTGCCTTCCGGGGCTGCATCTCCAGCAAGGTTCTGAAGAGAGTGTGGGCCGTCACTGTCAGGAATTCGATCTCGGCGTTTGGGTGGAGGCCGTACAGCGCGGGGCTTTCTGGAGGAAGCATCTCCTCTATGTACTGGTGGTAGCCCGAGTAGTCTAGATTAGGTGGCGCTGCAAATCCTGGTGCCAGCATAAGTTCATCTTCAACCTTCAACCACAGAGGTGAAACGGGTTATTCCAAACGAAATGGACATCACTCTTTGCTCCCTAAATGCTTTGAGAACACTGTGGTGCTCAGCCCCAGCGCACTGTAGACAGGTAGCAAGCTCTCTAAAATGTCTCATGACCCTTTCGTAATCAATCATTCTGCTCTGTGCATGGCACGAGGCTGACCTGGGGGAGGAGGCAAAGGAACAACTTGAAGCCTATGCCTAAGAAGACTTGGTCTGCAGTGTGCTTAGGGCGACGTTATCCAGCCACACACATGGAGCCATCCTATTGACTTGTCACCTTGTCACATGCTTCAAGTTCGAGATTTTCCGAAACATCCCCATTTTGCAGAGAGGAACTGACACGGATGCTTGGTCTTAATCCTAATTCTGAATTCATTTTAGTATGACTGTATAGCCTATGCTTTCGCAGTGAACACACTTTCATAGTACTGCTTCAAATTATGTTACATGTGAATTTTATAAACATGCATAATTATATGTGCATATATTGAAAAGTGTGTGTGTGTGTGTATAAGTAGCATCTTTATAAAGCAGTATATAATAAGAGTCAAATCAATGCTAACTCGCCATGACTTTGAGCTACTCAGAGCAAAGTCTGCTCACCTAAAGCTCCATAGACCCCAGGACAGTTGCTGGCACATGCTGGTGCTCAATGCAGAGCTGCCTAATGACGGACAGGCTGGAGTCATAAGGCATTTAGCACGCCCATCGCTTCATTATGGCTGAGGGGAGACTCTCCATGTAGACGAATGTTCTTCACCAGGGCAGTGGGGGCAGCAACACTAAACCTAATTATTCAAAGGCTGCTCTTCAAAATGTAACAAAAGCATTTATGGGCCTGAGTCTCTGACCAACCATAAACAGAGTCAATCAAGTGCTTATAATTTTCTGGTGTAATTTCAGATTTTTTTTTCCTGGTTCTTTAGTTCCCAGGGGCCATTATACCTCTGTTTCAATTTTCCTAGTCTCTCTTGCTATAAATTCTATATGTACTTTTAAATGTTCAGGGGCGATGCTACTTTAATAAAAAGCTATCACCTAAAAATATGTAGTTATTTTATGCCTAAATTTTCTAAATCATTTTCCGAATTTGGGGTTTGTCTCTCTAAGTGTGTATGTGATGCCATCTGGTCTCCTCACCATTACCTGAAGATAAAGCGAATCTTCACAAATTCTTATTCAATAGTATGTACGGATCATCTGGTATAACCCAAACAAGCCTCAGAAATATAAAGATTCATACAGCCCTGGCTGGGTGGCTCGGTTCATTGGAGCATCATCCTGTGCACCAAAACGTTGCAGGTTTGATTCCTGCAACCTAGGTCCTGCACATACCTAGGTTGCAGGTTCAATCCCTGGTTGGGGCATGTATGGGAGGTAACCGATCAATGTTTCTTGTTCACATTGATGTTTCTCTCTCTCTCTGAAATTAAAACAACAACAACAGCAAACAAACATATATCCTGGGGGAGGATTAAAAACAAAACTTTTCATACAGCCCAGTTTTTAAGGAACTCAATCTAATGAGGGACAAAATAAGTGACTTTCTCCACAGCCATGTCAAGGGTGAGTAATGGCACTCTGTCCCTTCCTTCTCAAACCTGCAGTCCCAGATTTCCAGACAGCCTCTGTGCTTAGAGACGACTCTCGGTTGCTGCCTGGAATTCCAAAAGGCATTTTAAATATTGGAGTCAGCATTTCTATTTTGATTTTGTACTGGACAAATTTCCAAGTTTAGACTTTCAGATGGCCAGAAACAGTAATCTTAGCCCAATGCAAGAGCAACCTGGACTATCTTACCACCAATATCTATTACTGTGGTTTGTTTTATTCATTCATTCCCATTTTCTTTCTTTTTTTTTTTTTTTATCCTCACCCGAGGACATTTTTCCATTTTTTGTTCAGATAGAGTGGGAGGGAGAGAGAGGAAGAGAGACAGAGAGAGACATCGATATGAAAGGGACACATCGAGTGGCTGCCACCCACATGACCAACCAGGGCGGGGGACGAACCGCAACGGAGGTACGTGCCCTTAGCGGGAACCGAACCCCGGTCTCTCCGGACTGCAGGCCGATGCTCTAACCGCTGAGCCAAACTGGCCAGGGCCATTCCCATTTTCTATTATTTCACATTTAAATATCAGAATAATCAAAATTAAATTCCACCTGACTCAGGGTGACCAAAACAAAACTGTGAAGGCTATGTGGACTCATAGTATTAGTCTATGAGAGATAAAATTAGCCAAAATAAAAAATGGGCACAAAATATGAATAATAAAGCCAAAATTTGGAATAAACATTACTAAACTGAACTTCATTCCCTACAAACAAGGACTTGGGTCTTCCCTGTTAATGCTCACTAGACAGTTGAAAGGAATTTTAAGAGCCACAGTTACATTATCCTTTAATAAAGACCAAATATAAAAAATGGTTTCAAGCACAGAAACTAGCCACAAAGGGGAACCACTGAGAAACGTGAACGTGCTCTGGTGTAGGACGTTTGTCTGCGTGTGCGCCTGCAGCGGGGCTGTACCTGTCCACGCCTTCTGGAAGGTGATCATGCAGCCTTCACAAACACGCCAAGAATGCCTTTTCTATGTCAGGCGATGAGCAAAGTGACGGAAAAGAGCAAACTCAAAGGAAAAGGCTTGCGTTTTCTAGTCAGACGGGCCTGGCTCGGGTCCCACCCCTGAGTGGTTTGGTAGTATTTCTTAAAATGACAGTTTATCTGAGTTTTGATCTTTGTCAGTAAGATGAGGCTCACACCAGGAATCCAAGGAGCCGGCTGTGAGAATTTAACGACCAGGTATGCAAATAGCTAGGCCCGCAGCAGCTTCTATAAATGTTAGTTTGGGTCCTCCCTGGGCCGTAGGAACAGACAGGATGATCTCCTGTACATCCTGATTTTCTGGAAGGCAAAGGAGGACTTGAGAAATGTCCGACTGAATTCCTACTATGGTGTCAGACAAGTAAAGACCGAAAGCAAGGCTGGGTTCAGACAGGGACCGGAGTTCTCCTGCTGCTGCGAGAAGTCGGCAGGATTTCATGCTCAGGGAGCTCTGTGAAGCCTGCTTCAGTCCAGGCCTTCTGCCTTCCCTTCAAGGGTGTTCACGAAGAGCTGCTTCTTGCGAACGGGGCCAGAGCCATCACACTGTCCGCACTGTGCAAGTGACATCTGTCTTGCATTTGGGGGAGGGCAGTTTGAAAGGCTGTTATGCCTCAAAGAGTCAACAGTTCTAAGTAGACATTTCTCCAGAGGAGATACACACATGGCCAAGAAGCACAGGAGAAGATGCTTAACATCATTAGTCTTTAGGGAAATGCAAATCCAAACCACAGTGCGATACACTTCACACCCACAGGACGGCTAAGGTAAAAAAAGGGACAATAAAAGTGCTGGCAAGTATGTGGAGAGAACAGAATCCTCAGACATTGCTGGAACTACAAAATGGTGCAGCCACTTTGGAAAAACAGTTTGGCAGTTCCTTAAAATGTTAAACATAGAGTTACCCTATGATCCAACAACTGTACTTCTAGGTGTATACCCAAGGGGAAGGGATATGTATGTCCACACATACACTTGTACATGAATGTTCATAGCAGCATTATTCATAATAGCCCAAAGTGGAAACACACATGTCCATCAACTGATGAGTGGATAAATAAAATGCAGTGTTTCCATACAATGGAATATTAATTGTCCATTAAAAGGATGTACTAATACATGACATCACCCAGCTGAACCTTGAAAACATTACGCTAAGTGAAAGATATCTGACGAAAAGGCCACATATTGTATAAGTCCATTTATATGACATGTGCAGTATAGACACATCTATAGAAACAGAAAGTAGATGAGTGTTTGCCTGGCGTTGGGGAGTGGGGGATGTTGAGAAGGACAGGATGGTGATTGACTGCTAATGGGTACAGGGTTTCTTTTGGGGTGATGACGATGTTCTGAAGTAGATTGTGGTGATGGTTGCACAACTGTGAATATACTGAAATCCTTTGGATTGTTCAATTTAAATTGGTAAATTTTAGGGCATGTGAATTGAATTGCAATAAAGCTATTTTTTAAAAAAAGAATCTATAGAATTGTGCTCAAGGAGAATGAGCCTCCACAGCCTGCAAAAAATAACCAAGGACTAGAAGTCAGCTTTGCAGAAATGGTGCCAGACACAACGATCAGGAATTGGGAAAGCCAGCATCCTGCCACCCTGCTTGCTCTATAGGGTTACTGTCCTTCTTACAGTTTCCCTCCTGGTAGTTAGCACAAGACTCAGCTCCTCCGTTGCCTCTCCAAGTGTTGCTGAAGATGACAAGACTCTCCCAGTTCACTGTGAGTCTGAGCAAGAGCACTTGCCCTTGGCCTGAGTAAGAACTGCCATGGCCCGAAGTGCTGTGAAAGCTGCCCGAGGCTGGATCGCGCCATCGTGGTGTCTTTAGAGCTGAAAGGTGCGTGAGTGAATTTCCAGGCAATGCCTTCATTTTACAAGTGAGTAAACGGAGGCGCGGGAGGCCCTGCACACAGCGGGACAGTTAGTGCTAGAACCTCAGCTAGAACCCCAGCCTCCTGTTCTTGGCATCGCCCTGTGCCCCCTACCATGCCCCGTACAGACATAGCCCAGTGCTTTGGTGACCCGTGCCCCAATCACTCCAAAGAGATCAGCACTGCAGCCGACGCAGTGTGCGCAGAGAAAACCAGTGGGCTTTGGAGTCTGTGAGTTCACATCCTGACTTTGCCACTTACCAATTGTTTGAACTCTGCGGGTTTCTTTTTTGATTACATGGAGAATAAATTCTACTGTGCAGGACTGTAGTGATGGGAAAAAATCATCTACATAAACTGTGTAGTATTGACCCCTGGCACAGAACAAGTATTTAATAAATGGTGTCCATTGTTATCATCACAGATTAAATAAAGTATACAGAGGTATGACTATATTATGAAAATGTATGCTTTATGATAAATATATCCCCATTTATTAAGTATTTTGTTCCACCATTGTACCAATGTTTCAACCCGACAACAGACCCATGAGTTGGGCCATTCTTGTTCTGCAGATGACGAAGCAGAGGCTTGGGTTCAGTGCTGTGTCTCAAATCACGCAGCAAATACAACACAGAACTGAATCTGAACCCAAGTTGGTGGTTGTTTTTTGACTTCAAAGCCCAGCCTCTTAACAGTTGCTGTCTATCACCAAAGTTTTTAATATATGACAACTTTCAGGTGACCAGATACCTTATCTTCCAAAAGTCATGTATTGTACTGTTTGTTTCGTATCGCCAAGTGCATGCTGTACATGAAAGAATATTAATAATACTTCCCTAACTGGCCAGAGATGCTCTAAGGTTCCGTAAGGGAACCTTCCTGAGTGCAGCCACACTTATCCCACAAGGAGCTCACCATCCCGACAGGACAGCGTCACTGAGAGCATCCTGAGCAGCATCACTTCAAACGCTGCGTCGTTAATGGTTGCTTTCTGAACATGGTCCAATGCAAGCAAGGGAACACATTTCCAAGTAAGTTAACCAACGTGAGAAGTGGCGAAAAGACAGCGGCAGATGCTGAGTGTTAGCTCAGTTCCTAACAATGTAAACAGCACGAGCAGGAAACATTTGCACGAGGACGAAAGAACAGCTCTGCAGCCTCACCACGGATTCAGTCTGCTCGACCTTCCTTCGGTGAGTTGAACAGGTAGCTCTGTCCAGCGAGGATGTGAGACTGCAGGTGCCGCCTTTCCATCCATAAAACCTCCCCAGATCTGCACCGAAGGGCGGGTCCCTAAAATTTTAAAGGGCTAACACCCTCCAGGGATACCCCTCAGGTTCTGCCATCTGCATTTGTTTTTCAATCATTTGAACAGGAGTTCAGGCTTGTGAAGGTTAATGGACTGTCTCATTGGGCAGCAGTGATTCGCTCCTTCTCTTCGGGCCGGAGCCAGAGAGGAGACATGAGCAGGAGCTTCTCACTCGGCCCCAACCTCCACCGTCATTCTGAGAAACCAGCCTCTGGAAAGGTCAAGCTCCACCACTGTTTATCTTTCCCGTCTCCATGGAAACCTGCTCCCAGACCTCTTCTGAGGAGTGACGTCCAATTGTGTTAAATTGAAAGTGTCTTTCTGACCTGTGAAGTTCTGCTCATTTAGAACTCAGGAAAGACCAGGAGACTCACAATCAAAAGTAACACTTAAGCAATGGTCACAGGGTGGGGAAGGGTCTTCCCCTGCATTGTTCCCAAATGGTTTAACATGATTAAAAGTAGTAAAAAAAAGAACCTGTCCCCAATTTTCTATATTAGATCCGAGGAAGGTTATCAAAACTATATAATGTTGCTCTGAGCAGTGGTGAGAGCATCAGCCGAGGTGTCGTGGGTTCGATTCCCGGTAAGGATGGGTACCCGGGTTGCAGGTTCCACCTTCCATCCCGGCTGAGGGCTTGTGTGGGAGGCAACCAATCGTGTGTCTTTCTCACATCGTTGTTTCTATCCCTCTTTCTGTCCCTCCCTCCGTCCCTCCCTCCCTTCCATTCTCTAAAAATCAATGGGAAAAAATCCTCAGGTGAAGATTAACAACAACAACAACAACAACAACAAACTATGTAATGTTTTGATGCGATGAAATCCTCAGAGAAATTATAAACAGGAGTTTGCTCAAACAGTTTAAACAATGGCACTCTCTAAACAGTGTTTTGTCCTGGGAGTAGAGATGACAGTGTAGGGTGCCCTGGGTTTCCAAGAAATAATCATGCAATAGCCATGAACTTGGGGACCTGAGAGAGAACACGAGAAAAGTGTGGCCACCTTTTGCAGTTACCTCAATGTGGAAAACAAGGACTGAGTCCTTTGGCCAGGAAACACCGTCCTGGTCACAAACACATGGGTATTCGGTCTGTGCAGACACAGGGCTGGGAAGTGAAAAATGGGCAGAGGGTGCCTTGTCTCTTTAAACTCCAGTCCAGGGGTGCTCGTCCCCTTCCTCACAGAAGGAAGAACTAGGTTCTCAATTCACCACATTTTTCTTGAGCACGTGTTTAGTTAGAAGTTAATGATTAGGATTTAGAAGATTCCAGGGCTCTGTGACAAGAAAAAACTACACTAATTTCAGAGGCCTCCAACTGAAATCAACACACATGTCTTCTGGCTAGGGCTCTTACTCGGGATAACAGAGTGACCTGGGGCAAATCACTGTGCCTCAGTCTTTTTGCCTATAATATGGGCTAACAGTGTCAGCTCTGCATACCTCACACGGGTATTCCGAAGACCAGTGAGCGTGTACGTGAGTGTGCTTCACCTGGGCACTCGCGCATGCACAGAAATCACCTGGGTGGTCCCGTCAAAACACAGATTTTCATCCTGTGTGCCTGGGATGGGGCTCAAGACTTTGTATTTCTAACAGATTTCCAGCGCCCTTGAAGGTGGGGCCGAATGCACTTGCAAAAAGCTAAGAATCCTCAATCACACTTAAGAATTATCTATATCATGAAATTTTTAATTTTCTTACCAGAATTTTCTCCTCAATAAAATGAATTTGTTTTTTTTATCCTCTCCCAAGGACATTTATCTTCAGATAGAGCGGGAGGGAGATAGGGAGGGAGAAAGAGAGAGAAACATGGATGTGAGAGAGACACATTGACTGGTTGCCACCCACACGACCCCAATCGGGGCCGGGGACAAACTGCAACCGAGGTACATGCCCTTAGCGGGAACTGAACCCGGGACTCTCCAGTCCGCAGGCCGACACTATAATCGTTGAGCAAAACCAGCCAGGGCAATGAAATGAATTTTTTAAAAAGTGTCTTACCAGAGATGGATTGATGAATTCTTCTAAATACACCTGACACAGTTTGCGATCCCAATCATCTGTGATGTGGCCCCCATACATGATCTCACCAAAAAGATACCGGAGGTCTTCCCATGGGACCTGGGGGAAAATCACATAAATGATCACTTCCGGGCCCAGGGTTTCTGTCTCAGGGTGTTTGACAGGTGGCAGGACCTGTTCCTCCACAAACCCCTCTAACACAGTGGCCCCCCAAACCCCCAACCGCAGGAGCATTTAAAAGAGGCTCAGCCTCCATAGCCCCCGGCTTAGAGCCCTGGTCTGGTAAGAGGTTCAGGGTTCTGCAGAGACTTTCTTGAGAGAATCATTTTTGGTGTTTTCATACATTCAGGGGAAATTCACTAACACTGAGCTGTTTATGTGGATTTTAGAGCAAACTGAATTAGTCCTGGAACATGTTATGCGAGGAAAACTTACACATTCAAAATCTCATCCAAAAAAATCATGAGAGGGTATGAATCCAGTCAACCTCCAAAAGTTCATGCAAACAAATCCCCTTGCCACCAACTGACCTGAGGGCTCGTTTTATGGCACGACCGGCCTACTCAACATTTTAAGGGGTCTAACGAATGACTGTACCATGTTTTATTCAAGAAATCACTCTATCTCCTCTTCATTTGGCTTAGCAGTGTTTGAAGTCTCTCTTTGCTACCCTTTAGCTTCCTCTGGGTTTGCAAAACATGCCAGTTTGTGCTGAAGCCTTTCTAGACAGGAACCTTTATACCCTCGGGGGCAATATACCGCCTCCCAACAGCTCAAGTAAAAACTTAATTACAGCCTTTCTTTGTTGCACGATGTGACAGAACAAGTAAAATTGCTCCGGCTGGTCCAATGCACTTGCTACAAGTTTATGTGAATTTGAAAAAATGAACCTCCAATATATCTTTCTTTTAAGCTGGTTTGATGTGAATGAAAAATAAAGAAGTGACTGTACCATGTTCTCTCTCTCACCTACCCCAATGGTCTACCTTCCATATAGCTGAAGAGGATGTAAAACAAGAACTTCTTCATTTTATTTCTCTTCCTGATTACACTTAATTAATGGTGGCTATGCACCTTACCATCTGGTATGTATCTCCCTCAAGATTTTAATCAGCGAGGGAGTCTGTTCTTTTTAATAACCAATTCTCTTTCCCCAAATTCTGATCTGCTTTTTACAGATAATTCTTGAAAAGGACATTGTGTGTAACCAAAATATGTGCACATATTTACTTAATTCACCAGTGCGTATAACTTGCTTTGTGATATGCAGCAAATGACTCAGGTCAAGATATCTGAGAGACAAATGAGCGTGTTAAAAACCTAAGGCAGGCCCTGGCCAGTGTGGCTCAGTTGTTTGGGTGTCTTCTCGTGCACCAAAAGGTTGCCAGTTCAATCCTCTGTTGCGAGGTGTGCAGGGAAGGTGTGCAGGAAGCAGCCGGCCAACGTTTTGCTCAGATGTTTCTCTCTCTCCCTCTTTCTAAAAATCAATAAAGAATATTTTAAAAAGACACCAAAAAACCTAAGGCTGGACTGAGAAGCAGCATGATTCCAGTGGCTACCTGGTGTTGCCAAGTCTCTGGATGTGGGCACTAGAGGAAACACACATGTCAACACCTCTCCTCCTCCCCTTCGTTTCTGTCTCAATCATGTACAAGATTCCGCTGAAACAGGATCAAACTGCTGGTCAACCTCATGGTCCAGTTATAAAGGACTTGGATACAAGTGTTAAGTGGCCCATTTTGTTTTCTACCCAGGACTATTACAATAGTCAATTTTATGTCCCACATTAAAAAAAACTGCTAAGATCAACAGAAAATAGTATTTATTAGAAGGGGCAAAATATACTCAAGGTATGTATGCAGACTTACTTTTTAATTTCATGGATTTTAAAAATGATAGCTATGGCACATTGATCATCACACACCATATTAAGGCCATTTATTTTGGATACCACTTATTCAAAATGTGTTTCATGGGAGAACACACCCATGTCATGTACAAAGTGTACACATTCTGATAGTGGTCAGATCCCCTCTGAAGCCTGAGAACACTTGGATAACAACAATTGTAACAATGGTTACCAAAAGGAAACATAAACAGTCACTTAGACACAGAAAAACAGATGAGTTGTTTCAAAGGCCCCTTACAGAAAGCTGGCCCGGAGCACACCTGGTTGGTTTTGACAAATATATCTCAAATTTAACTTAATGGAAAAAGTCCCCCTTAGGAGGCCTAAGCCAGAAACTTCTTACAAATGGTTGCTGTTTGAAATCTCATCGTTGGGTTTATAAGAGTTTACACAAATGTTCCTGATGAAGCATTGCTGCTCCCATCTGTAAAACACATTTGAGCTAGGAAATAAAATCATTCATCTACCTTTAACTTCAAATCAAGGGGAACATTACTGAGAAAGTCACAACAAGGTGGCATCCTTAATACATAATAATGACATATGCAGGAAATGCACCATTATTTATACTTGTGACGCGCTGTAAATTGCTTCCATCATCAGGACTAATTGTAGTGATTATTAATGCAGTGTTATGAACTGTCAGAATTGCTGTATGTAATTACATTTGTGCAAATGCTTCATTACCTGCCTAATGAATCTGGCATCTATGCACATGTAAACCACTGTTTTTGTTAACATAATGAAGGACATTTTTTTTTTTTTTTTTTGCACAAAGCTGCTGATGTAGAACTGGTTTGACCTATCTTACGAAATCCGAGCATCCAGTGCTCGGGAACCTTTGATCTGGTTTATTTTCACACTTGGCAGAAGATGCATACAGAGTGTCAGCCATTTCAATAATAGCTTCCAGAGGGAAATTACGGCCCACTTTGATAGTGCCCGAAGACTGACAGATTCAGCACGCTCCTCGGAAGAGGTTACCTGACCACTGGCACTTACGCTGGGGCTTGCCTCTAAGTAGTTGTAGAGGACATCGGCACAGATGGCGAGGTCTCCGGGACCGAAGGGATAGCTGCGGCTCCAGCCCTGGGGGCCGAACCTCCGCCTCCCAGCCGCGCAGGCGTGGAAATAGCACAGAGCAAAGAGGAGGCTTTTGAACTCCTGCTCCTTGGAGCACGCTTCAAGTGTATCCTGGGAGGGAAGACACGCGTTTCATTACCCATCTGTGTGGTTTCCAAGGGCAAGGGTCTGGGTTTGCAATAACCCTGTAAAGGACTTTGAGGGAGATGTAGAAGAGGTAACATGCGGTCTCCGGCAGGGCCGCCTGTCCTAGGAGAGCATCATAGGAGACTGTCTGCTTCCCATTTGCCAGTCTGCTGACTTCGCTTTAGTTATTCTTCTGAATGCTTCTAAGTTCACTAGAAAATGAGACAACTCATTTTGACCAGTAGAATATTGCTTGACATCATTTTCCCCTGCAAGAAAATTGTCCCAGATAACACATTATTTAACCCCAAGTACTATTTGCCCCTGGTTTCACAGTAATACAGAATATCTGGGCACATGGCCACCGATCAAAAGACTATTTCCCAGTCACCCTTGAAGACAGATGCTTTATATAACCAAGTTTATGCCAACAGAATCTGAGCAGAAGTGATGTGTCTAACTTAAGTCATTTACTTAAAAGGAAACTTTGCCCTGGTTGTTGCTCTTTTCCTTCTTCTGTGGGCTAAAAACGATGATGACTGGACAATCATGGAAGCCACAGTAGGTGTAGCAGAGGTGCCCATCAGCTTGGGTGTGTGGCTGATCTGGACAGAGCAGCCAGTTACATGTGAGAGAAATTACCTTGTTTGAATCACTATATTTTTGTGCTGACCCTTCACTAATACAATCACTATGACCAATGGTTTCCTTCCAATGAACTAGAAGTAAAATTCATTGATGGGATGACAGAATGGCATAGGGAAGATTAAAAAAAAATACACACTCCCTAGACTAGATTTTTAAAAAATTTTTGAAACTGCAGAAGGAAGCCCCGCTGGTGCGGCTCAGTGGTTGAGCATCAAACCATACACCAAGAGGTTGCTGGTTCAATTCCCAGTCAGGGCACATGCCCAGGTTGTGGACCAAATCCCCAGTGGGGGACATGCAGGAGGTGGCCAAACAATGTTCTCTCTCATCAATGTCTCTCTCTCTCCCTCTAAAAATAAATAAAGAAAAATATTTTTTTTAAAAAGTTTTCCATAGGATTAAAAAAATGCAGAAGGGAAGTTGAATCCTGGTATGCTACACTGATATGGTTATGGCCCCATGAAATCAAAAGGTAAAAAAACAGCCATCTGATCTCCTATGGCTTACAGGTAGTACCTAACCCATCTTCTGATCTGGCAGTTCTGCGAGGCAAACAGGAAAGGTTGAGGACGACTCCTTCAGCTGAGGGTGGGTAGCAGAAGAAGTAAGGCCAAGTCTGCACCCTCCTGCCTTGTCCTTTACAGTGGCCCAAGGACAGCCAGTCTGACGACCTGAGCCATGTACAAAGATATTTAGCATCTTTGGGGTGAGATTTCATAGCTGGTCCCCAGGGAACTTCTGGTAAAATTTGAAACCAAGATTATATTTGTTCTCTGGTCCAGGACCAGAAGAGCTTTTTAGTTTTTTTTCTGTATCACTTTCATCAGAATCCAGGGCTACCACCCAATATAGTACTAGACTTGGCCAGGCCACATACAGTATAGACCCAACTAAATCACTAGACAATTTCTAGGAAACTTATGGGGTCTGGAAATATACAATCCTTAAAACAACTTTTCTACAACAATACATCAAATAAAAGGCAAGCTTTTGAGAGCAGAGAAGAGAAACCATATAATTAGAATTAATCCTGAGGATATAAAAATATATTACTTTTAGTAAGAAATTTATAAAGGACCAAATAGAACTATCACATTTTCTTTAGGAATGATAATCTAACAAGTCACCTAACACCTACTGGAATTATAGGTAATCCACAGAAAACCAAAGGTACTACAATAACTAAGTACATTAATTCCATCTATATTTCACATAACTGACCTAGTTTTACCTCATTGCTAAAAAAAAACAAAAACAAAAACACAAGTCAATGCTCATTTTATTACGCTCTGATAATATAAATGCCATTGGAAGAATATATGAATCAGGCTTTCCTATGAAAAAGTATGAGTCTACCCTAACATTCCACATTTCAGGTCAGTCATATTCTTCTGAACCAAGTCACGAGCAAATAAATATCAGAAAATATACAAATAGCACTGTGAACAGAGAGCAGGCATTGGCACACAGACAGCAGTGCTACATGCACACAGATGCCAATGTTACAGGCACAATTATTTGTTTTTGCTGCAAATCTTACAGAAACAGAAATCTATATTCTTACTTTAAATATCTGGTAATCTGGGGATGAAAGGAGCCCAGAGAACTCCTTTATGGACTCTTCTTCAAGAGGCCGATGCTACTGAGCGGAAAGTGGCATTCAGGCAACATCCTACAAGAAATGGTTCTTTACATCTTGGTCACATAATGATCATATTTACATAAACATTCTCCAGTGCTCAGGGTAATAAATAACTGATATTAAATGAACTTTGTTCAATATGAAGCCATGCATCAAGTTTGGAGATAAATTCTGATTGGGGGGAAAGATTAAAAATACAGATCTAGCCCTGGCCAGTTTGGCTCAGTGGTTAGAGCATCGACCTGCGGTCCAGAGAGATCCAGGTTCGGTTCCTGCTAGGGGCACGTACCAAAAAAAAAAGTAAAAATACAAATTTAATTGAATTTGAAAATTAAGGAATGCAAAACAAAACTATCCAAATAGAACAGCTAACTTGCCTAGATCCCTTGGGTGCTTTTCTTATCTGAGAAGGGGACCCAGTTAACAGGAGTGACTGGGATTCATTCACCTAACCCAAATGAATATCAAGGCAGATGACATTCATCATCCTTTGTCCATGGCACAGGCCTCAGTAAGATAGGGTCACAGTAGCCACAAGAACACCCAGGACGATTCAAGGAGACTTGGGAAAAGAAGTGGTCTGTATCACAGACCACTAATTGCCTGCCTTAAATTGTCTTCTCACTGACTTTTAGCTGGGCATATGGCTACTCAAGATAAGTTTTCTTTTCCCCGCCTCTCTTGCAGCTAGGTTAATGCAAAGTTTGAGCAATGAGATAAAAGAAGGACTGTATTAACTTGAAGAAAGTATCTTAAAAAGAAAGCAAACATGTTCTCATTGTCATCTTTGTTCCTTCTTTCATCCTACTGTCGGGAACATGGATATGGGGGCTGTAACTCTCCCAGCACCTGAGACCATGGCAAGCCCACCCTAGGAAGGATAGAATGGTGAAACTGGTTGGTACAACTTGTTGGTGACACATATGAGCTCTGAATGACCTACCTCTAGGAATCTCATATGGCAGAAATACTTTTTAAACTTAAGTCACTGCTTTTGTATACTTCATTCATAAGTAGACAACCATAATTCTAACTGGTAAAAAGGTGCTGGGAACCTCTTCACAGATAGCAAGGAAGCACAGGCTAATATCTATGAACTGCTTAATCTGAATAAAAATTAAATCTTGTATTCTAGATTAATGACAGGTCAGCATTCATAAAAGACTCTTTAAAAATTTATATTTTCCTTAAAGTTTCTGTTAGTGTGTTTGGTTTGGGCTAAAATAATTTTATGGCAAGTTCATTTAGTGAATTACTTTGATTACTTTTGGTTTTGCTACTTATGATCAAATTTAGTCTTACTAATTAAGAGGATCCTTTCCACTAGATAAGAAATAATATTCCACTTGAAGTTCTTAAGAATCTTTCCAATAAATGTAACCTTCAGTTAATAAAAGGGTTTTTCCAGACAGCAATGGAAAGAACTAATACTTTCATGAATAAACTAGAACTGGTGGTTTTTAACTGGAGGAGGACTTCATGCATAGTCTTTGGGGGATCTGTTTACCCCTATGATTGCATCAGATTATAAAAGAGGTCCTTACCCACCCCCACCCCCCCAAATGCTGAAGGACAATTGTGCTGAAGCATATTTGTTCATGAAATGCTCAATTTTCACGAATAAAGACAATTATTTTTGGGAGTCAGATGAATCCTATTTCAAAACATCAAACTCCTCTTTTGTACTTACTTAAAGAGCTTGAGAATATCATAAAGATCCCAAAATTATGAACTGAGGGACAATTAAAAAACAAATACATGTCCTCCACAGTTCACAATAATGCATACTGCAAATATGTAACTAGCTTAACAGGAGTTTTGAGTACCTTCTATTTACAGTCCATTGTGTTTATATAGGCTACAGATTACTCAATTATTTGAGTAATTAACTGTATTCATCAAAACTATATTCTTAGGTAGCTAGTTATTAAAATTCCTTCACAATGTTGGTTTGGGTATTGGCCCAGAAGGTACTAGAGAAAAGTTAAGCATGTGCACATGTGTGCATACACATCAAGAATTCAGCCCTAGCCGGTTTGGCTCAGCGGTTAGAGCGTCGGCCTGCGGTCCGGAGAGACCGGGGTTCGGTTCCCGCTAAGGGCATGTACCTCGGTTGCAGTTTGTCCCCGGCCCTGGTTGGTCGTGCGGGTGGCAGCCACTCAGTGTGTCCCTTTCACATCGATGTTTCTCTCTCTCTCTCGTCCTCTCTCTCCCTCCCACTCTATCTGAACAAAAAATGGAAAAATGTCCTCGGGTGAGGATAAAAAAAAAAAAAAAAGAATTCACTTCATCCCTCTGTACACGTGACATGAGTAGACGATGGTTCTACAGTCTTGTGAGAAGACCCTGACTATGACAGACCAGACTTCTTTCTTACCTGATCAAAGTTGTAGAGAGCGGCATGTAAATTGGCCAGCATTCCTGTAGGAGGTTCATTAGTGATCTTAATGGAATTTTCCAGGAGCCCTTGAGGGATGATATGCTCAGTTGGTGTAGGTGCAGCCTCGGCGCTCATGAACACCCTGTAATCTCTGTGGCTTCCTTGGCTGAATCTTTCAAGGAGTTTCTCCAAGGTTCCCAGCCACTTGGCTACCAAATGGACATTCTGAAAGATAGTATGATGCATAATTCCTGTGAAACTCAAGTATATTAATTAAATTATAGGATTACAACATTTTTTCTACACATCAATGTGTTGAAAACTCAGAGAACAAGGATTTAAATGTTCCTTTATTGTCATGTTAGGAAAACAAAACAAAACAAAACAAAACAGAATTAAACAATGAACACATTAAGTGCCCCAATTCACCACAAATTGTCTTTGTAAACCAAAATCTTCTTCCAACACTCTTATCTACTTCCAACACCTACCCATCACTTCTGAGATAAAGTTGCCTTATATGCTTCTTTGTTACAGTTCAAACTCAATTACTGAGATTTATATGGGTTAATTTAACCAAGTATAAAAACTGAAGGCCAGCCCTGGCATGTTTGGCTCAGAGGTTAGAGCGTCGACCTGTGGTCCTGAGAAACCCGGGTACAGTTCCCGCTAAGGGCATGTACCTTGGTTGCAGTTTGTCACCGGCCCTGGTTGGTCGTGCAGGTGGCAGCTACTCGATATGTCCCTTTCACATCGATGTTTCTCTCTCTCTCTCTTCCTCTCTCTCCCTCCCACTCTATCTGAACAAAAATGGAAAAATGTCCTCGGGTGAGGATAAAAAAAAAACAACTTAAGACCAGAAATGTACCAGACCACCCACTTCATTTTTTTCTGATGGAATCCTCTTCTACTCAAACTCCTGCTCATGAGAATATGGACTCAGAATGATGTGAGAGACGAAAGGCTAGCTGAAAAAGAAAGCAACCAGCCTTGGCTGGTTTGGGTCAGCATTTAGAGCATTGGCTTGTGGACCAGAGAGACCTGAATTCATGTTCCTGCTAAGGGCACACACGTACCTCAGTTGCAGTTTGTCCCCGGCTTCTATTGGGGTTGTGTGGGTGGCAACCAGTCGATGTGTCTCTCTCACATCAATATTTCCCGCCCCCCTCTCCCACTCTATCTAAAGATAAATGCAAAAATGTCCGCAGGTGGGGATAAAAAAAAAATCATGAAGGAAAAAGTGTCACTACCACCACTCTTTGATTTTCAATTTCATGACTCACAGATTTGCTCCTCTCATACGAAACAGCCGCACAGTGCAGCTTGGTGGTGGTGCTGGGAGAGGACTGGAAAGCGCCAGCCCACATGCCCCCTGGTTTGGAGCTGCCCCTGATACAGTGATGCAGGCCTCACCCCCAGGGATGTGTTCTCATTTCCAGCAAAGAAAAGCATGTATGATTACAACAGCTACAGAAATACAAAGAACGAAGGCAAAGTAATGCTGCTATCTTTCTTTGAAACCGTTCTGTTATAAAATGACCTATGCTGATTCACTTGTTCACATTTTTAGCTTTTTTTTCTCTCTTGGGCAAATATTGAACATTGGGAGTTATCACGGGCTGAACTGTGTCCCCCAAAATCCATGTGCTGAAGCCCTAAGACTCAGTGCCTCAGAATGCGACTGTCTTTGGAATAGGGTCTTCGAAGAGGTAAACAGGTTAAGCCCTGGCCAGTTTGGCTCAGCAGTTACAGTGTTGGCCCACGGACCAGTGAGTCACGGGTTCGATTCCGGTAAGGGCACATACCTCGGTTGCAGTTCATCCCCGGTCCTGGTTGGGTCATGCAGGAGGCAACCAATCAATGTGTCTCTCTCACGTCAATGTTTCTCTCCTTCTCTCTCTCTCTCTCTCTCTCTCTCTCTCTCTCCCTCCCTCCCTCCCACTCCATTTGAAGATAAATAGAAAAATATCCTCAGGTGAGGATTCAAAATAAAAAAAATAAATAAATAAGAGGTAAATAAGGCTAAAAATACAGTCACCAGCATTGGCCTCAATCCAATATGACTGGTGTCCTTAAAGAAGAGTAGCCCTGGCTGGTTTGGCTCAATGGTTAGAGCGTTGGCCCATGGACCAGTGAGTCGCGGGTTCGATTCCAGTCAAGGGCATGTACCTTGGTTGTAGTTTGTCCCTGGCCCTGGTCAGGGTCTTGCAGGAGGCATCTAGTTGAGGTATCTCTCTCACATTGGTGTTTCTCTCTCTCTCCTTCCCTCCCACTCTATCTGAAGAAAAATGGAAAAATAGCCTTGAGTGAGGATTAAAAAAAAAGAAGAGGAGATTAGGACACACACACCGAGGGAAGACCATGTGACAAGACAACCATCTACAACCCAAGGAGAGAGACCTCAGGAGAAACCAATCCTGCCGACACCCCGATCTCAAACTTCTAGCCTATAAGAACGATAAGAAATAGTTCTGTTGTTTAAGCCACCCAATCCATGACAGTGTGGTACGGCGACCCTGGCAAACTTACACAGTAGGTGCGGGCTCTCTCGTTTCCTCCCTGCCTGCTTGCACTGGACCACAGCGAGCGCTTCTCACACCCAACTGCGCCACTCACACAAGTGGGCAGGACCAAGCACAAAAATAAAACCCGTTTGGCAAACACAGAGGTGGGCAAAAGTAGGTTTACAGTTATAATACAAATGGTACAACAATTAATAATACAAGAATAAACTGTTTCGCATGCTCACAAGTGTAAACCTACTTGTGCCAACCCCATATGTCCTATTCATTGAATGGACAACAACAATCCCTTACTTGAAAAGTTTACTTGAAACAAATGTAAACATTCTAGACTGTAATGTTGGAGCCAGGGGCCAGAGACACCTCCAAGTGAGCCACCACTGAACAGGCATTTGGGGACGTAGCCGGGAACCACTGTTGAGGATACTGGCTTTGGGCTGTCGAGACTCTTGCGCCTATTTGTCCAAGGGCAGTAGGGCCTGTGCAACATTTTCACCTGGTTCAATATATAGAGAACAACCCACTTTTTGCCCATGACAAATGATTTTTGAAACCCATTATGCTAACTTGGAAACCCTCCGGTGTGGACCTGAGATAAGACAGCTGCCAGCCGGCCGCCATGGTGATAGTTTTCTCTAGAGTGTAGGCTTTTGATAAAATGCTCGCGGAATATCCCTAGAGGGGCTATATCTGATCATAACAACTGATCATTGTGGAGTCTGGTTAAGAACATATTAATATGTGCATCCATGTCATATCCCTACACTGATATAATTTAATGTAAATTAAAAACAATACAATAGTTTCCATTTTGTTGGTCTCTTTCTTCAAAGTCTTGCTTCTCTTTTAACTGTAAATCAAAGAGATACTGGACTCCTCCAGCAACTGGGTCAGCCGAGCCTGGGATAGTCTCTCCTCTGCAGTTCTGAGTGTGGAGAATAATAGCAAGTGACAGTTTAAGTGACTGGCTTACCGCTAAGACAATCAGAGGTCTCGAAGCAGATGCTTCACAAAAGAATTTCTTTTTTGAGATTTTTTTTCCTTTTGGTTATTCCTCACCCAAGACTATATTATTTTTTAATTTTTAATTTTTTAATTATTTATCCTCACCCGAGGACATATTTGTTCAGATAGAGTGGGAGGGAGAGAGAGGAAGGGAGAGAGAGAAGCATCGACATGAAAGGGACACATCGAGTGGCTGCCACCCACACAACCCAACCAGGGCCGGGGACAAACTGCAACCAAGGTACATGCCTTTAGCAGGAACCGAACCCGGGTCTCTCGGAACCGCAGGCCGATGCTCTAACCACTGCACTAAACCGGCCAGGGTGACCCAAGAATATTTTTTCATTGATTTTTAGATAGAGTGAAAGGAAGTGGGGAGACAGAGAGAGAGGGAGAGAAACATTGATGTGAGAGAGAATCGACTGGCTACCTCCCACACAACTCCGACCGAGGCGGGGATGGAACCTGCAACCCAGGTACATGCCTTTGACCAGGAATTGAACCTGCACCCTTCAGTCCACAGGCCAACGATCTAACCACTGAGCAAAACCGGCCAGGGCAAGATCGTTTTTTTTTTTAACAGTGAAATTTACAACTTGCATTTTTGGAGGCAACTGGTAGCTTCACACAGATCTAAAAATGACAGAAACATTTTACTTTGAATACTATGTTCTCTTGAGGATGATTCTACCCCTCTTAGGTTCTTTCCAGTTTGAGCTGCTGGGTGCCTAAGAACTCTCTTTGTGGGAAGATCCCAGCATCTACACAACTGTCGGGGAGCAACTGCTGTCTCTGAACAGAGCAAACCCTCCGTTGTTACCTGTCTGGCTCTGGGAACCCCAGAAGGGGACCCAGCCTCCCCAGTAACTCGCTAAGATCTCATCTAGGCAGCAGGCAGTACCCTCTTCTAGAAGGTTATGTTCTCTTTCAACCCTTCCACAAATCACATTTCATTTCAAGCAGAAATGCCAAATGCACCAACCCTGGATCCTGGAGACACTGAGGAGGCCGTGTCACATCTCGGCATGAGCGCTGGAGCATGGATGAGTGGGAAAAATGTCACTTCCTGCCAAACAAACCTGGACTCAAGTATCAGCTCTGCCCCTTTCCAGCTCTGTGGCCTTGAGGGTCTCCAGACCCCTCTGAGGCTCACCTGTCTCATCTTGATTATGAGGATGATGACACCTACCCTTGTGGATTTGGGGTATGCTCTGAGGTCGTTATCCCGAGAACTGCTAGCAAAGAGTCTGACTCGTACATGAGAACCTTCGGGATCAGTGTTCAGTGACTCAGGTGGCCATGCCAGACCTGTGGGGACGAGCTGGCATGTCTCCCTGTGGAAGGAGTCAGTCAGCAGGGCTCCTCAGTGCCCCGACACCTGGGCTGGCTGCATTGGTTTCTGGGTGCTTGCTAGAATCCCCAGCCAAGGGAGCCCCCGGAGGACGCTGGGTTGCAGACTCACAGACCCAGACAATGCTAGCTGGAAAGAGATAAAGGGGAAGCCTACCCTAACTCTCTGAATTTACAAACAGGGGAATGTTACACAACTAGTTAGGGGTGAGTTGTACGAGATACATATAAACGTGAACGCAAAGGAGAGAAGTTAGGGAGCGTGTGGGCCCTCTGTGCAGGCCTGCTTGGGCTCCAGCACTGCCTTGCAGGTATCTGATATCTCTAAGTCAGGAGGGGCCAGGGCGCCCGCCAATATTTTTAATTTTAAAGCACAATGCCTAGAAAATCTCTCAACAGATGATAACCATCCTGGTGAGAAGACCCCTAATCACCTTTGGAGGTGTCACTAATGCTGAGAAAATCCACTGGAAAGGCTCCTTCCTATTGGGCTGGTCAGCTCCCTGTGTTGTATCCAGTGTTCTCCATGAGCACGTAATACTCACTTGGAGGAGGACCCAGTGTCCCTCTTGGGAAGCCTTCTCCAGTGCCATTTCTGCCACCGTCTCCTGACCTTGTCCTAAAGACACGTTGTGGAATTTTCCTGAGTCGATTGTGAACCCGAGTCTCCTGCCTGTGGGACAACACGACACGGTGAGAGGTGAGAGGAGGCTGGAAATTGGTGCTCCAGTGGCCATCTGTGGTCACCACCGCTACCTTCCAGGTCACTTTCCTGCAGAACCAAATAAACCTCGGTCCTTTCGACCAGCAGCACAGGGAGCTCGCAACAGCTGCCTCCTTGCACGCATCCAGGAGCCTGTGGAAAGTGGTTCCTCTGGTTTTATGGTAATGAAGCTTGTGACGTGTTGACAGATGGCAAGCATTGTCACTGAGCTTTACAAACTCTCGCTGGAGCAGCACAGCATTTCCCTCGTGAACAGGGAGCAACATGTGGTAGGAATCACATGGTTCTCCGGAGGGATCGGCTCACTGGGTAAAGGCAGGAGCCTCTCCCTTCGAGGCCACGCTTGGATGGAGCACAGCCAGGCCACAGCTCTAGCGACCCGGTCCTCGGTGCAGGCGGGACTCAGCAATCCAAGGCAGAAAGCGACGGCGCCTTGCACAATCGAACAGACCTGCTCTAATGACCATTATTTAGTCACAGGGGGCACGAGATTACATGAGCATGGAGAAATGGCCTTCTGGCCCTCACAGAGTCAGAAGGTGGAAAACAGTATAAAAGAAACTTACATTATGCCAACCAGAGGCATGTGCCCTTTGAACATTTCTTCAGACTGTACAGTGTTATTAGGCGAACATTTCCTATACACTCAGTCTCCAACAAATGGGAAAAAAAAATCAAAGAAACAAAGATAACTGTAAACTGAAAGGAAGGGTGGGGGGCGGAGGGGGGCGGAGGGCAGCCAGCAAGCCTCCTGGCCACTCACCCAGGGTCTCCAGGTCTTTGAGGGCATCTACCCCTGGAGACAGGATGAAGAACACGGGGGTGGCAGGGCTGCTTTCCTCAAAGGCTTTAGCTAAATCCAGTCTGGTCCTCTCCACGTACTTTGCACCCAGTTTTTCCTCCACAAAATTCCTATAAAAAACAATGCCAACGACATGACCAGTGCTTGTTTTTGACCTTGCAAAGTATCACAGGCTGGATCACCTTAAACCCCAGGCACAGGAAGAAAACAAACCGTGTTTTTCACGTTTTATCAGAATGACAATATGAATCCAACTAGATGTACGTAATAGTGTCCATAAGATCCCTCTGAAAATCAGAAGCTTACATTCCACTTTGGGGGGCTACTGAGACCCCCCCAGTACCATCAGTTGCCTGCCTATGGCTTTGTATTCCCCAAATCTCCTGCCAGACACCCCCCCCCCCATTACTTATTAACAGTTCATTAGATTTGCCACAGTGCAATTTTCCAGCCTGCTGGGCTTCTCATGAATATACAAATGCTTTTTGGGTTGTTTCTAACACAGGAAAGCTCAATTAAGCAGGGATTATTTTTCAGCAGCACCAGATTTAGCAGAAAGTAAGTAGTACTAAGCAGAATTAACTTGTAAAGCGGGGTTCGACAGAGGTGGCTGCAAAGGGAAAATTGGCTGATCTAGACAAAGCCAAGGCAAAAAACACGCGAGTCCTACTAAAGAAAGAGGAGCGTGATCGGGAGGGAAGTTGTGAACTCTTAGGTTGGTGAATTCAAATTAGAACACGACTTGTATGAATTAAGCAGCATATTACCATTTGGAAGCCAAAAGGGCAGAGAAAAGGACACTTGAACCCAGATGTAGACAAGGCCTTCTGCTTTTAAATCGTGCTTGTTGCAAAGTTATGGGACTCTGACTGTCTCTATGAAAAGAATTCATTTTTATTTGACATGTAAAATCTTTGGAGCCAAAATGCCACCGCAGAATAAAAACGATGGAAATTAACACTTGGATAATGCATGTTCCTGACCTCTGAACTCTGCTGACACTCATCTCTCTTCCTAGAGTAGTCCCCCTATTTCCTTGTCTCCCCTGCAGATTTCAAAATCAAGTGTCTCAGGAAGGCTGTCCTGACTCGTGTTGAGCACATTTTAACAACAGCAGTGAGTACGATATCAATATCTCAGCAGAATCACTTCTCATCAGTACGGGTTGTAAATGCGTCCAGCACATTCTCCTGGCCCCTAAGTCTCCTCCAGGTTAACCTGCATTTCTGAAGATGCTGACTGCCCACCTGAGAGCGTATGCCATCCTGTCAGGGCGCAGTGCTCTCAAAATAATCAGCTTCTGAATTAAACTCTTCTTCTTCCATTCTTGCGGTAACTTTTCTTTCTCTGGACACTCGGATTCCACCCACTTCCTCCACTGCTTGGCAGATCCTTCCACGTCTCGGTCTATGCCTCGAAACTCTTCCATAAGGGCTACTGCCTATAACACAATAGGGGAACAGAGAGGATGGTTCATCTCAGCATTTGAGATAGACTTGTGAATGCATCGAACCCCATATAAACACGTTGTGCTGGACAGCTGGACAGTCTTTATCTCCTCTCCAGATTTACTCTGCACCCTTTTCTGCCCTGCTGTGAGGGTGATCTCTAAGAGTCTCCTGGACTAAGCTCCCTGGTTCTCTGGCCTGGCTGGGTTTGTCCAATAGGAAGCAAATGGCAAGGGACAGGACGGGGGGGAAGGGAGAGGTCAGGGTATTCCTCCCCCAGCTCTGAAGTGACACAGTCTGGCATGTTCACCAACCGCCACAGCTTCTATAGGCTGGCTCTCTCCCATAACTTTATTTCTCATTCATTTTACTAAATGCTCTTTGCCTTCCTTTTTCCATCCCACCCCTGGTTGATTCCTTGTTATTCTTCCCATTCTAGAAAGATATCCTCTACTCTTTGTTCAACTCGCCTTTGAATGTGCTGTCTGTTTTCTGCTGAGGCCCTGACCGGTACGCAATTGACTGTATAATTTTAAAGTATAATTCTAAATAAATTTGAATTAAAAGTTATATATTTTTATTTTATTTATTTATTTTTTAATATTTTTTTTATTGAGTGTAGAGAGAGAGAGAGATAGAAACATCGATGAGAGAGAACATTGATTGGCTGCCTCTTGCACGTCCCCCACTGGGGATCAGGCCCACAGCCTGGGCAGGTGTCCTGATCAGGAATCTAACCGGTGACCTCTTGGTGCATGGGTCGACGCTCAGCCAGTGAGCCACACTGGCCACGCAAAAGTTATATATTTTTAAAATAAACATCTAAATATACTATGAAAATAAGGGAAAACATAGTTGTTTCCAATGCATAGAAATAGCTCCTTAGGAAAAAGAGTGGGCCAAAGCTTCGCCTGTGAGAAGCATCTTTAAGGAATTCTGGAGCCTGAGAATAAGCACTTGGTAGCAAAATAAAGAAACTACATTCAGGCATATTCAAAACCATTTATGTTCCTTGACTTCTCTCAAAGGTCTAAAGACTATACATATTAACAACTTTTCTGCCCATTAAATACGTCAAAGTTCCTTTACTTCCAAAAAGAAATTAGTCAATTTAGTTGTATACCTGAAACAAATATAGTATCGTGTGCCAACTATAATTGAAAAATATATTTTTTTAAAAAAGAGCAGCCCTGGCCCATTTGGCTTGGTGGTTAGAGCGTCGGCCTGTGGTCCAGAGAGACCCGGGTTCGGTTCCCGCTAAGGGCGCGTACCTCGGTTGCAGTTTGTCCCCGGCCCTGGTTCGTTGTGTGGGCGGCAACCACTCGATGTGTCCCTTTCATGTCAATGTTTCTGTCTCTCTCTCTCTCTTCCTCTCCCTCCCTCCCATTCTGTCTGAACAAAAAATAGAAGAATGTCCTCGGGTGAGGATAAAAAAAAAAAAAAAAAAGAGCAAAAAAATTAGTCAATTTAGTAATATAAAGATCAATTAAAGAACATTACATTGTGCACCCTATTCCTGCAACTGAATGGTATGTATCACTTGCATAGTTATTTATTTATTTATTTAATCCTCACCTGAGGACATTTTTCCATTTTTTGTTTTGATAGAGTGGGAGGGAGAGAAAGAGAGAGAGAGAAACATTGATCTGAAAGGGACACATTGAGTGGCTGCCACGACCAACCAGGGCCACGGACAGGGACAAACTGCAACCGAGGTATGCGCCCTTAGCGGGAACCGAACCCGGGTCTCTCTGGACCGCAGACCGATGCTCTAACCATTGAGCCAAACCAGCCAGGGCTCTCACTTGGATTTTTAAAAACTACTTTTCTACATGTGAGAGAACTGAGATTTGAAATAAGATTTAGAAATTGAAAAGCTACATTCCTAACATACCTTAATGGCACTCCACGACTGAGTAGTTAGGAAGTCGACAGGACTCAAGTGAGTGTGTTCAACTGTGAACCGAAGCAGGAAATCCAACTCTAAAGGGTCTATCTCCTTCTTTCTCAACAAAATCTTGAGAGTACACAAAATTGAAAAGAGTCATTTGGTTTACACAACAAGATCATGACACAGAAAGCAGTCACTGCTTAGTGGATATGATTGAATAGCAGAAATAAGTCTTCTGAAAATTTGTATAGATATATATCTGTTCTATAATTGAAATAAGAAATAAGTTAGGCCCATGATCTCAAAACCTTGATCAGAAGTTTAATAGCAAATAATTACAAAAGCTGATTTATTCCAACTTTATACCTATTAATAACCTATTTGAAATATGATTTCACATTTAGTTTCCTGTTATTAAATCAAACTTATCTTAAAATTTCTTATACAAACTGGAAAGCCTGAGATGACAATGGATTGAATTACTAAACAGAAAGTAAAGTTAGTACCATAAATTAGTCTTGGTATAGGAATTATATCCAAGACACCATGAGAATCACACTATAAACTGGAACAAATTTTAGATATTCTGAATACAGAATTGGTGAGGAGTCCATAGAACATTTTGGGCGCACAAATGAAACATTACCAACTTCCACATAAAAACCTCACAATGTTAAAGATGGAAAATGCTTGAGTTTTAGACTATTTTTAAATTCTAAATATTTTCATAATACATTATGGGTGGTAATATGCATGAAAATATTTTATTTTATTGAAAAATTAATTCTTAATTCAATTTAATGTTTCAACAAACAAGAAATTGCCCAGAGACATATGAAGCATTGATAAGCACAGACTGTCAGGGTTTGAGATAGATAGCTATGGCTTCCAAGGAGAAGTTTTAAATAGATATGCATGCCTGTGTGGGCATGTCATGTGTTGTCGTTCCTGATCTATTGCTGTTGGTGAGCAATATGCATAAATACACAAATTTCAGCAAAAAACCACCAAACAATCTGATTTAAAAATGGCAGAAAAACTGAATAGACATTTCTTCCAAAGAGGACATGCAAATGGCCAACAGAGACATAAAAAAGTGCTCAACATCACTTATCATTGGGGAAAATGCAAATCAAAACCACAGTGAGATATCACCTCACACCTAGTAGGATGGCTATTGGCAAAAACAGAAGAGATGGCAAATGCTGGTGAGAATATCGAGAAAAGAGAACCCTTGTGCACTGTTGGTGGGAAAATAAATTGGTGCAATCGTGATGGAAAAGAGTATGGTGGTTCCTCAAAAAATGATAAATGGAACTACCATATGGTCCAGCAATTCCACTTCTGGTTATATATTCAAAGGAAATTAAATCACTATTTAAAAAAGCTATGTATACTCCCATGTTCATTGCAGCATTATTCACAATAGCCAAGACATGGAAACAACCTTAAGTGTCCAATGATGGATGAGGGAATAAAGAAGATGTGGTACACAGATACAATGGAATATTATTCAACCATAAAAAAGGAAATCCTGAGATTTGCAACAACATGAATGCATTATGCTAAGTGAAATAAGTCAGACAGAGAAAGACAAATACTGCATGATCTCTCTAATGTGTGAATTTTAAAAGACTGAACTCATAGACTAAGAGAACATATTGGTGGTTACCAGATGTGGGAGGTGGGGGGGGGGGTAGGTAAAATGAGTGAACATCGTCAAAAGGTATAAACTTCCAATTAATAAGTGCTGAGGACACTATGTATGGCATGGTGAGTATAGTTAATAGTACTGTGTTGTATATTTGAAAGTTGCTAAGAGAATAAATCTTAAAAATTCTCATCACACACACACAAAATTATAACTATGTGAGATGATGGATGTTAACTAAATTTATTATGGTAATCAGTTCATAATATATACAACAACTGAACCATTATGTTGTATATCTTGGACTAATACACTATTATATATCATTATATCTCAACAAAACAGGGAAAAAATTAAAAATAATTTAATTTTGTAATGCTTTGCTCCTGTTTATTGCATACATTATAAAATGCCTACACCACATAGTCTTTCTTTTTTCGTATATACTTATATAACCAAAAGGAATACAGTCGCCCTGCACCACTTTGTGCTTCGACTTGCACGTTTTTTTCCAAATATACAGTATACAGATACTAAGAACATGGATAGTTTATAGTTATTAACAGAAGGTATTTATAAAATGCCTTCTTTGGGCAAGATATTTTAGAGGACACAAATAGAATAGACATCTTTCATCAAGATTTAGATAGAAAAAGTTATACAGTAAACAAACTAATAAAAGAACAACAGGCTCATTTCACGTAGGAATGTGGTTCTCCATGTTTTTTCTCATCATGGTCACCTTTATGTAAACAAAGCCTTTGCGGAGGTAGGTAACAAAACGGGTGAAGGGCAGGAGGCCTCACTGAAGGTGGGAGTGTGAAAGCCATTCATGTTTTTCTAAAGGACTCCTTGAACCCCTCACATCTGGATTCACAATTCTGATCTCACAGAATTCCCTCGGTAGCACCTGGGAAGTTCTGCACAGAGCCTGGAAAGGTGACGAGAATGTCTCATCAATCTGCTCTTCAGGGTGACAGCTGATGTATTACTCAAAATGCCTTCCCACCCAGACCGATGCCCGGGACTGACCAAAAGGTTGTCCTATGCCCAAGTTCGCTCTGGGAAACTCAAACTCTCAGGTCACCAAGAGCTTCCAAAAAAAGGTGTCTATGCTTGGCTTCAGCAGAAATAAGGTACATAATAAATAGAAACGTGCAACTTTGGTACTGGCGATGCTTTTGAGTGACTGATTTGCTTACCTGAAAAGCCATCTGGGACAGGAAGGTGAGCTTGTCCTTCTCAAACAACGCCTGGCTGGTGTAGACGAAGATGGCGTGGGTTATGCTCTCCGTGAGGGCCGAGAGGCGCCCCTGCGTGTCCTCCACCTTGTCAGCCTGCTCGATGGCTCTGTGGAACAGGACACTGAAAGCCTGGGGAATTCAAAGGGACTGTCAGAGGGCGAAAACCGCTGCCTGGATGTCTAACTAGCACAGGGCTACCCACAGTGTAAGGCTTATCTGTGGGGAGAGACAACAGGACAGGATTTTAATAAGGCACATGGTGAGTACTCATTCAATATTTGCTGCCATTACTGTTATTAACATCATTCCATAAAATCTACCCTTATCGCCTCCCTACCCAACTACACTGCACCACCCTCTTTGCATTTCTCTGATAAGTGTGGATCCTTTTAAAAATGTGTGTATGGGCAATTCATATGTCTTAGTGTGTGATAGACCTGTTCAAAGTTTTCATCTATCTTTTATTTTTATTTATTATTTTTTAATCCTCACCCAAGGATACCTTTTCATTTATCTTCCGATAGAGTAGGAGGGAGAGAGAAAGAGAGAAACATGACATGAGAGAGAGAGACATCGACCAGTTGCCTCCTGCACAACCCCAACCAGAGCCAGAGACCAAACCACAACTGAGGCATGTGTCCCTGACCAGAATCGAACCCGCAACTCTTTGGTCCATGGGCCAATGCTCCAATCACAGAGCCAAACCGGCCAGGGCTTGTTTGTCTTATTGAATTGCACAGGTTCTTTATATATTCTGATATAAATTCTGTTAGATATATGTATTTATTGGAGATAGTTTTTAGTAGTCTGTGGCTAGCCTTTTCATTTTCTTAATATATCTTTAGAAGACCATACATTTTTTAATTTGATAAGGTTCCATTTATCAATTCTTTTCTTTCTCTTGTATCCTAAGAAATCTTTGCTTAATCTAAAGCTCAAAGATTTTCTCTTATTTTTTCCTAGAATTTTTATAGCTTAGCTTATTTATTTTGAGATTTTTTTTTGATTGATGAGACAGAGACAGAGAGAGAGAGAGAGAGAGAGAGAGAGAGAGAGAGAGAGAGAGAGACATTGATGTGTTGTTCCACTTATTTATGCATGCATTGGTTGTTTCTTGTATGTGCCTAGACTAGAGATCAAACCTGCAACCTTGGCATGTGAGGACGATGCTCTAACTAACTGAGTTACCTGGCCAGGGCCCATTTTGAATTAATTTTGTATATAGTGTAATGCAATGGTTGAAGTTCATTTTATTCCACATGGACATTCGGTTGTCTCAGCACCATCTGTTGGAAAAAACTATCCCTTCCTCATTGAAATGTCTTTGCATTACTAAAAAAACAATTAATTGAACATTTGTGGGTCTACTTCTAGATTCTATTCTGTTCCATTAATCTATGTATTTTTTCTTTAGGCTAATTAGTGTAGGTTAATAATATCTTGAAATCATGTACTTTGTCTCCATATTTGTTGTTCTTTTTAAAAATTATTTAGTTATTTTAAATCCTTTGCATTTCTGCACAAATTTTAGCATCAGCTTACCAATTTCTAAGAAAAAGAAGCCTGGAATTTTGATTGAGACTGAATCTATACATCAGTTTGAAGAGGCATGACATCTTAATAGTTCACTGAGTGTTCCAGACCAAAATCATGGTATCTCTCTCCATTTACCTGGGCCTTTAAACATTGTCTCAAGAATGTTTTGTTGCTTCTAGCATGTAGATTTTATATTTGTTTTGTTAAAATTATCCCTAAAAGTTTCATGCTTTGAAAGTTATTATAAATAGTATTGTTATTATTTTCCTTGTTCTTCATAAACAGAAATATAATAGATTTTTCCTATTTTGATTTTATACCCTACAATCGTGCTAAGAACTCTCTTCTCAGTCTTAGTAGTTTTGTGGTTTGTTTTTTTTTTGGTAGATTTCTTATGATTTTATACAATCAAGTCAACTGCGGGGAAAAAAAATGACAGATTTTCTTGTTTTTAAACCTCTGTGCCTGTTATTGTGTTACTGCGCTGGCTGAGGCCTCCTGTGCAGCGTTGAACGGAAGAGCTGAGGGAAGCATCCTTGTCTTGTTCTGATCTCAGTGGAAAGCATTCGATTTCTCAGCACTAAGTTGGCACCTATTTTGGTAGATGCCCTTTGTCATACAGAGAGGTTACCACCTACTCCTAGTTTGCTAAGAGTTTTTTTTTTTTTTTCTTTTTTAAACCCAGGTGTTGAAATTTGTCAAGTTCTTTGTCTGCAGCCATTAAAATGATTATGTGGTTTTTCTCTTTTGTTCTAGTAACATGAAGAACTACATTGTGTGACCTTTGAATGTTTAACCAACTTGCACTTCTGGTACAAATTCCACTTGGGTATAATATATATTGTTTTACATATGTGGCTGGATTCAATGTGCCATTATTTTTCCAGTAGCTTTGCAACAATGTTCATAAAGGGAGCTGCTCTGTAGTTTTCTCCTAATGCCTTTAGTTCTGGTGTCTGGGGCACAAAGGTCGAAGTGCTTGCGGGCCTCCCTGGAGAGCTCTATGCGATCTGTCTTAACATTCCAATTCTGAAGATTTCTTAGATGACACATTTCCAGATTGCTTTCCTGGAGAGTTTATGTTGAAGCACCCTAGCACTTCCTCATCCAAAGAACGATGCTGCCTCCCTTTAATTGCTGAATCAAGTGTAGCAAAAGGAAACAAATGCAATCCCCTTGGTTCTCATTCACATCACTGAAACATTGTAATTTCATGAAGAACTCCCCCTGCAAAGGAACCCCCGCCTCCACCAGCTCTGTTGGGGAGAAAGGCCCTCCAGCCCCCCTCCCCCGATGGCAAACAGCGCAGTTCCTCCGGTATGTCTCTGTGCCTTTCAAGCTGCCTCCCCCACGCTGGAGCCAGTCTTGATATGGCTGCTGCTTTAATTCCGTAGTTGTAGGACTTCCATTCAGCTCGATTTCAGGCGGTTCTGAATGATGGTTGTTCTGTAGTTTAGTTGTGATTTTGATGTAGTTGTGGGAGGAGGCGAGATTGTTGACCTACGTCACCATCTTCACTGTACATCCCCTGATTTAGTTTTATTGTTCTCCTTATACTCTGTGTCTGTTCCCAAACCCACCCCACTGCTTCTTAGTTCCATACTTCTAGAAGCTGCTAGTTATTCTTGACTCTGTCCCTCCTCATTGTCCACATCCAATCCATCTCCAAGGGATGATTATTGTAGCTTCAAATCATATCACAAGTCTATTCACTTCTGAGTCCTTCGTCACATGGTCGTCTTCTTAGAACCTTTCACTGGCTCCTCTTTGCACACGGAGTGGAATCCAAAGTCCCCCACAGGGCCTAGCAGGCCTCATACAATCCAGACCTGCTCACCTCTCGCCTCTGTCCTGCCATCTTCTCATGCACCCTCCACCTCCAGCCACACAGCTTCACTCACCACCTGGAATCCCAGACTCATTCATAGCTCACACAGCTCTGTCTCCAAACACTCTTCACACGGCTAAATCCTATCGATCCTTCAGAAACCAGCTCTGATGTCACCTCCTCTGAGAGGCCTTCCCGGAACACCCAGTAAACTGCCCCACCTCCCCTACTATTCCCTCTCATTGTACTTACCACTTACACACACACGCACACACACACACACACACACACCTATATATTTTCACAGAAGTCTGTTTTTTTAAAACCTGTATATTCAGTGACCAGCACAGCATCTGGCATGATGACTGATCCCAGTAACTATTTGTTTAAAATCAGATTGAAAAATGAACAAAAACTGCCCGGAGGCAGAACAGTGTAAATTTGAGCAGAGGCATTGGAATTGTAGGTTCAAACCCTGGCTCTTTAATTATGAAATGCACAATCTTGGGCAGTGCCTTGAATGTAGTAGTGGCTTAATAAATAGTTGTTCTCGCCCGACCGGTGTGGCTCAGTGGTTGAGCGTCGACCCACGCACCGAGAGGTCGCCAGTTCAATTCCCAGTCCGGCACATGCCCAGGTTGTGGGCCCGATCCCCAGTGGGGGGCATGCAGGAGGCAGACAACTGATGTTCTCTCTCATTGATGTTTCTATCTCTGTCTCCCTCTTCCTTCCTCTCTCTCTAAAATTCAATAAAGAAAAAAAATTAAAAATAAATAGTAGTTCTCAGTCTTTCTCCCTCAATACGAAAATATTATGGGAAATCTATAAGACACCTACATTTTCACAAAGAAAGTATAGGAGCCTCAAGGACAATTCCCTTATTTATATACAATAAACTCCTCAAGACTCCGTTTAAGAACAAAAACAAATGTATTATAATGTTGCATAGTTTAATTATCCCAAAGCCTTACTGAAAATTATTAATGAAAGTACCACTAGATCCCTATGACTTCATACTGGGTGCACTTAAATTGCTTAAAAATAAATTCTAAACTTTCAGAAACAAGTTGAGCTCCTGAAGTTTAACATTTTTCTTAGCCTCTTCGGCATTACCTTCAAAGAGAACTGATAGATGGGGTTGATTTTTCTGAGGTCGTTAATTACAAAATACAGAAGAGATGCTCGTGCAGCCACTGGTCTGTAACATTCTCGGGCCTCGTTGATTTTCTTCTCATTTTCTTTAGCTTCAGTCACCTATGATGGGATCAACAACAGTGGTAACTTAACAATTCATATTCTCTGTACTTATCCAAGTGATGGAAGGGACATATCTGAAATGAGAAATATCAGTATCAAAATAGATAACATATGGCATCTATGTGCTTGAGTTGTTCAAAAGTATTAAATTCATACTTAAAGTAATTTAAATTTTGTATTTCTTATGAATATTAAGGTATTTAAAATGATACAAATTTAAAATAATTTTTTTTCACAAGAGTTTCCAGTGAGAAGAAATATTCCGCAGCCGTTCTGTGATGGCAGATTAAACAAACCTGATTGTTTCTGACACTACAGAATTTATTCCTGGTAATGTCACCTTTCTGCTTCCTCTCTCTCTTTCAGGGGTTAATAACCCAGGTATATCACCTCCCAGGGATAGCTCTTAAAAGTCTGCTGGGTCGATTCAATGCCAATAATTTTATTAGTCAACAAGGTATAGAAAAGCAGCCAAGGTCAATAATAGATGTAATAGCCATGCTTACTAAAGAGCCTTTACATGAAGACTCTCCTGTCTCACTTTGACTTTGCACAGATCATCCTTATGTTCATATATTTTCATGTGGTTTATCTTTATGTACTAGCCTCTGGTACAGTCAGAGAGATAATGAAAAGAAACCACTATCAAACAACATATTCACTTTTAGTCAAGGCTCAACTATCTATTTCTTTTATCTACGACTATAGCTTTATACGATGCAGTATTTTTCCAAACTTTTTAGTAGTCTTGATTTATCGTATTTGTGTATAAAAGGAAATAAAGACAGGGAAGTCCCTATATGGCAATACTTTAAGAAGATAGGAACCTACAAGGCATTTTAAGAGACAATTAGAAGTTAGTTTGAAAGCTAAAACCTAATTTACTTAATTGCTCTAATCTTCACCATCTCAGGAGCCACCTAGAATTCCTTTTAAGTAAAAAAGAGAGTAATTTGGAATTCCATTTCCTTGCTTAAACAAAGACCAATATATTGGATGTGTGGGGGCATTGCCTCCAGTGGGTAATTAATAGATTACTTAGTAATGAGGATAGTCCAGAAAGCAAACACAGGTTCCTTTTATTTTTTTAACAACAGAATTTGAAGGGTTAATGGCCACTCGTGAAAATCCAAAGTGCACACCATGCATGACGCACCCTGCGAGGCATGCTGGACGTTCAGCAGGGAGTGTCATCCCTGAGAAATCTGATTGGCTTTTAGGAAATGTCATTTCCCAGTGTGAAGAACGCATCTGAGTACCGCGGGAGACCATCTCTCCTCAGTCTCCTGGCACTGAAGGCCTGGAAACAAAACTTCAGCTCTAAGTGTCTCTCAAAAATGTACAACAGACTAGGAACCCTGCGGTGAGACTGGCCGATGCCGGTCTGCCAGGGCCAGATGCTCAAGGAAACCCTTTCAGGTCTGACAGCATCTCAGCCAGCAGGCCCTGGTTGTCTTCACATTTGGCCACACAGAACAAACAACAGCCCGACAGTCCATCTGAATGACTGGAGCACTGCAGAATGAGAAGCACGCATGCGGCCCTCTCTCTCTCCATTCAGCACCCACCCCGTCCATTTTCTAGGGCAGTTTATCAGATGACCTGAATCCCACAATCCATCCCCTCTCTGAGAAATGACCAATGTGATCATACTGTCACCCGAGGACGCTATCCAGAGCGCCCGCACAAGCCTCCTGGCGTCCCCTGCCTTTGCCTACCTTGTGCGCTATCTCTGCGGCTGTCGTCTTCGTCGTCTCCAGTCTCTCTACCAGTTTGGTGTCGTCTAGAAAGCTCCCCTCCGCCGCAGAGAGGCGCAGAAGGAGTTCGTCCTCCAGATACTTCAGCTCGATCTTAAAGTCATTCTGGTGCTTTGTCAAAACCAACTAACACAAACCGAAAGAAGTTTAAGACATGGTGGTTACATTCATGTTTTTATTGTATTTTATTTTTGTTACATTCGTGTTTTTAAGAGTTTCCTTAATCATGGAATCATATATAATGAAACACACTTCACATTAAAACATTAAAACATTACCGACAATCTTTTTTTTTTTTTTTTTATCCTCACCCGAGGATATTTTTCCATTTTTTGTACAGATAGAGTGGGAGGGAGAGAGAGGAAGGGAGAGAGAGAGAGAAATATCGATGTGAAGGGACACATCGAGTGGCTGCCACCTGCACAACCAACCAGGGCCGGGGACAAACTGCAACCGAAGTACGTGCCCTTAGCGGAAACCGAACCCGGGTCTCTCCGGACCGCAGGCTGACGCTCTAACCGCTGAGCCAAACTGGCCAGGGCCTGACAATCATTTTTAACAATTCTTTTAAAAAGTTTCAGAAAGCATGTTAAGATCTGGTCAGACTCCAGGGTCCAGAGTGTAAACATTTATCATCATCATTTAACTCATGAAGCTGTAGGAATAATCTATCCTACAAGAAGAAACTTCTGGTTTATGCTTCTCTCACACACATACACATCTAATCAATCACTCTTCTTATATCCATCAAAAACTGATGTCAGAACAAACTGCCACTCTGAAAACTAGATGGGTGATTACAATAACAGTTTACCGGGAACACTACATAACAATTAGCTAATTGCTGGAGGTAAAACTTGAGAGTCAAGAACTTCTGGGGACCCTGTGTCGGGTTGCCCTCCACACTTTTGGGAGTTGACCAGGTTCTCACAGTGAAGATCAGTACAAAATCTACTCCTGCTCTGGGCAGGGGGAGGGGAAAGGAACTGTTTTGAAATATATCCGGAGGAAAGCAAACACTGAAATAAAGCCTGCCCTCAAGGACAATCACTTGATTGAAGCCTTATCTGATGGAGGAGGGAGGTGATTAGATGATTTCAGCCTCCTCTAGACTTCTTTTTATCACATAGGAGAGAGAAAATAAATGATAAGAAACTCTTCTGAAGGTCAAAAACCAATGACTAGTCCTACTGGAAAACCCTGTGATTTAATCATAAGATTATAGAGTACTTCCCATTGATAATATCTTACCACCACATCAATATTGTATAATAACACCACCTTACAACTGAGAGATCTGCAAATATGGACTCTATTTAAGAAGGAGATTCTAGGGAGACAAAGTCAAGGATAGTAGAGGAATTAGGGCCTATGGCACCAATAGCTACAACAAACATTACACATAGCCTGACTCCTAGCTGTATAAACATGGAACCTCACAGTAAAGCTCTGTTTACCTCAGTTCAGATTATTCAATACATTGTATCTGGCTCTTGTTAAAAGGCAAAAAACACAGTCTGAAGAGATAAAACAGCCCTGGCTGGTTTGGCTCAGCAGTTAGAGGGTCAGTGGGTTTGATTAGGCTGGTCAAGGGCATGTACCTGAGTTACAGGTTTGCTCCCCGGCCACAGTTGGGTCATGCAGGAGGCAACCAATTGATGTGTTTCTCTCAAATCAATATCCCCGTGTGCCCCCCCCCCCCCCCCCACTGCCTCCCTTCCTCTCTATCTAAAAATCAATGGGAAAATATACTTGGGTGAGGATTAACCAAAGAGAGAGAGAGAGAGAGAGAGAGAGAGAGAAAGCAACTGCAGTACAAAACTCAGGTATAGCAGAGATTTTGAAATTATCAGACTGGGAATTAAATGTAACTATGTTTAATGTGTTAAGGATTCTCATGGAACAAGTGGGCAACATGTAGAACCACATGGGCAATGTAAAGAGAGAGATGGATGCTCTAAGTAAAAAACAAAATGAAATGCTAGAAATAAAACAAAACAAAATACTATAACAGAGCCCGGCCAGTGTTGCTCAGTGGACGGAGCGTCGTCCCATGCATCATTAGGTCACAGGTTCAAATCCCGGTCCAGGTACATGCCTGGGCTACAGGCTTGATCCCCAGTGTAGGGTATGCAGGAGACAGCTGATCAATGTTTCTATCTCTCTACCCCTCTCCCTTCCTCTCTATCTAAAAAAATCAATATATATCTAAAAAAAATAAATATATAGATAGATATTTTTTATCCTCACCCAAAAACTTTTTTTTTTTTTTTGATATTTTGTTCAGATAGAATGGGAGGGAGAGAGAGAGAGAGAGAAACATCGATGTAAAAGGGACACATCGAGTGGTCGCCACCCATACGACCCAACCGGGACTGGGGACAAACTGCAACCGAGGTACGTGCCCTTAGTAGGAACCGAACCCGGGTCTCTCCAGACCACAGGCAGACGCTCTAACCGCTGAGCCAAACTGGCCAGGACAATAAAAAATATATTTAAAAAAAACAACACTGTAACAGAAATAAAGAATGTCTTTGATGGGCTCATTGGTAGGCTGGACACAGTCAAAGGAAGAATAAGTGAACCTGAAGATATGTCAAAAGAAACTTCTCAAACTGAAAGGGAAAAAAGAATTTATTTATTAATTTTTTTAAAATCCTCACCTGAGGATATTTTTCTATTTATCTTCAGACAGAGTGGGAGGGAGGTGGGGGAAAGAGAGAGAAACACCGATGTGAGAGAGACACATTGATTGTTGCCTCTAGCATGACCCTGACCAGGGCCAGTGATGAACTGCAACCAAGGTACGTGCCCTTGACCAGAATTGAACCCAGAACTCATTGGTCCTTGGGCCAACACTTTAACCATGAGCCAAACCGGTCAGGGCGGGGAAAAAAGAATTTAAAAAGAAAGAAAAAATTGCCAAAAACTGTGGGGCAATTATAAAAAGCATAACATACATGTAATGGAAATACTTGAAAGAGAAAAAGGAGTAGAAAAAAATTGAAGGTAATAATGGATAAGAATTTCCAAAATTAATGACATTCACCAAACCACAAATCCAGGAAGCTCACAGCATCCTGAACAGTAAATAATAAAAAGTTTATGCCCAGGCATATCATATTTAAACTGCGGAATATCAAAGACAAAGAAAATTATTTTTAAAGAAGCCAAGTGGGGTGGGTACGATAATCTCATCTGTATAGATAAATGAACAGGAATTACATGGAACTTCTCTTAGAAACAATATAAGGAAGAAAAGAGTAGAGTAAAATATTTAAAATATTAAAGGAAAAATACCACCAATCTAAAATAAGGAAATGGGAATACTGTTAAAAGGCACCTGAACTACTCATGAGGCAGTATAGTGTTACTTGAAAGTGAACACTTTACAGGTTAGCTGTAAATGTATATAGTAAATGTTAAAGAAACCACTCAATTAAAAAAAAAATAAAGAAGTAAAATTTATATGCTAAGAGAGGACAGGTACCAGAATCATATAAAATGCTCAATTAACACCAGAGAAGACAGAAAGGAAGAAAACACACAAGAAAAAGGCAAGAAACAAGTGCAGTAAATAAAATACAATGACAAATATGTTACATATTATTCCAACTATCGCAATAATCTCTTTGAATATGGATTGTCTAAATACATCAATTAAAAGTTAGAGACGAACACAGTGGATACAAAACAAGACTTAACTATCTATTGTCTACAAAAACAAAAAACAAAAACCACTTTAAAGACACAGAGAGATCAAAGGTAGAGGATGAAGAAAGATATACCACACTAACACAAATCAAAAGAAGCTGGAGTATCTATGTTAATTTCAGACAAAGCACATATCAAAACAAGGAAATTATCAAGAGCTAAGAGGGCCATTACATAATGATAAAGGGGTCAAATTCTTCAAAAAAACCCCTACAATCCTTAATGTGTATGTGTCTAATAGCAGAGTGTTAAAATACATGAGAAAGAAAATGATAAAACTGCAGGAAGTAGACAAATCTGCTATTATTGCTGGAGCATTTTAAACTCCTATATCCATAATTAACAGATCTAGCAGGCAGAAAATCAATAACAATATAGTTGAACCAAACAACACCATCAATAACTGGGTGCTATTGACATTTATAGAATACTTCACCAATAACAGAAGAATACATATACAAATTCTCAGTCATAAAACACATCTTAAAAGGTTTAAAAGTATAGAAATATGAGCATTCTCTCAGACCACAGTGAAATTAAGTGAGGAATCAATAACAGAAAAATAGCCGGAAAAAAATTCAAAATATTTAGAGATTAAACAAGAGACTTCGGACTAACACATGGGTCAAAAAAAGAAGTGTCAAGAGAAATTTAAAATATTTTGAAATAAATAAAAATATAAATTTAACATAAAAATGTGATATGCAGCAAAAGCAGTGCTTAGAGGGAAAATTAGAACATTGACAACATCCATTAGAAAAGAAGAAAGATCTAAAATTAATTTCTAAGCTTTCACCTTAGGAAACTAGTGAAAGAGGAACAATATAAACTTAAAGCAAACAGATGAAAATAAGCCATAAAAATTATAGCTCAAATCAGTGAAATTTAAAATAGAAAACCAATGGAAAAAACAAGACACCAAAAGTTGGTTCTTTCCAGGATCAATAAAATCTATAACCCTTTATTTAGCCAGACTAAGTAAGAATAAAAAGAGAAGGCACAAATTACTAAATGTCAGAAAGAAAAGCAAGGTCATTGTTACTGAGTCCATGGGCATTCCAGGATAATGAACAAGTCTATGTCCACAAATTTGATCACTTAGATAAAGTAATCAAATGTGTTTTAGTGAAGCAGAACAGCATTTTTTTTTTTTTTTTATCCTCATCGGGGGACATTTTTCCATATTTTGTTGAGATAGAGAGAGAGAGAAGCATCAACGCGAAAGGGACACATCGAGTGGCTGCCACCCGCACAACCCAACCTGGGCCGGGGACAAACTGCAACCGAGGTACGTGCCCTTAGCGGGAACCGAACCCGGGTCTCTCTGGACTGTAGGCCGATGCTCTAACCGCTGAGCCAAACCGGGCAGGGCCAGAACAGCATTTTAAATACATTTATTTCTGTGTTACGAAAAACAACGATGAAGGAACTGAAATTAGGTTCGCGTACACAAGAACTTTGTAATACCTTTCCAACCTTTATGGAAATAAACGTAAAATTATTCCAAAATAAAATAAACTTATTTATTTTTGAAAGCTGCTTCAGACAAAGATTAGGGGGAGAGCAACAGAACGCTGATAATTATTGAAGCTGGATAATGAACACGTATGGGGATTCATAACGATTTACTTTCATGTGCTTGAAAGATTTCATTACCAAAAGTAAAAACAAATAAATACATTAACCAAGCTGTCAAACCTTTTGGAAAAAAGAAAGAAAGAAAAAAAAAATGTGTGAGCATGTTACCAGGACAAGACTCCTTTCCTACATAGTCGTATGGTGTCTCAACGACAGACATGGTCCCTGCCCAGCTAGTGGTTCCGGCTGCAAGCCTGTGGCCCTCTGCACCCTGGCCCGTGGATCACTCCTGGCATGCTGCAGTGTCACCGAAGGGACCCCAGGGAAGTGTGCCCCAGCACACTCAGCCTTGACCCCAGGCCTGTCTCTGCCCTGCTGTCGACTGTGCAGAGTAACCCCCCCGGGGAAAGCAGTCTCAAATGAACCTGGGCATGGGTGAGGGCCACCTGCCGGGCTTGGTAAACAGAATCTCACTTGGCAGGATCTGGGCTGTGGCCTGAGAATGTGTATTCAGAGAAGTTATCACCTGATGCTGACGCTGCTCTGGTTCCAGAACCACCACTGAGAACCACGGTCTACACCAGGAGTGGCAGCTTTTCCCAGAGGGTCGGAGAGTACATACCCTGGGCTTTTCAGACCCTACAGTCTCTGTTGCAATCACTTAACACTACCACTGCCTTCTGCCTGCGTTTATAATCTAACTCTGTTGTTTTCTTGTTTCCTGGATTCAACCGTGAATTTAATTATTTTCAGCATTTTTTCCTAGTCAATGCACTTTAAGCCATATGTTTTCCTTTAAACGTTAGTCATAACCAACAAGTCCTTTAAATTTTCCCACCTTACTCCATTACCCCTCTTCTTTGTTCTTTCGCTTTGGCTGAATCCGCGGTGATCATCCAACCTACAAAGGCACATGCCTGCAGAAACACAGACCTGTTTCCCAAGACTCTCATGTCTCTTTGCTTGTCCTAGTCACAGTCATCAAACTGTGTCAAACTAGACCTCGAGCCAGCCCACCTCCTACCTGGGGCACAGCCCGAACTACCTCCTTCATCAGAAGTGCCCCTGAATCGTTGTTAACTGTTCACATACATCCTCAAATAGCACGATCCTGGAGGGCAGGACGCCTCTAATACTCATGTGTCTGGCAGCATAATTTGTGCAAAGCTGGTGCTGAATAAGTGTTGGTGGGTGATTTCATATTTTTTACCTTGAGTTTCTCCAAATCTGGCCTTTCAATGCTGACCACCTCTGCCAGCAGCTGGGCTTCCAGACCGTCTTCGGTGACCGTGAAATTGAGGAGGGTTGTCTGAGCTTGCAATTCTGGTTTATAGTGAGGATTCGCCAGTTTTGTGTGAAGGAGAAGACGGAAGTTCTTGTTAAACTCACATTCTTTATCTCCAATCCTGATATACCTAAAGGGGACATAACACAGACACTCAGGAGCCCCCCCGAACCAGACCTGAGCAAGGTGTCATTCCAATCCTGTATCCTGATCTCGTATCTAGGTCACAAGACCAGCGGGTTCAGGATTTTTCTGCTATTCTCGGTTTCCCTAAAGTGAAAAAAAAGAATAAAAATTATCCACTAACCTGTATATTACTAAGTTTCCTCATGTGCAGCGTGGTGGTAATAGCAGTACTCACCAAACACTGTCATTGCAACAATTAAATACAATAAATCACACAAAGGAACTAAAATAACAAATGTTAGCTTCTATTATTATACTCACTGATGAATATTATATTAAACATTGCTATTCTTTAAGGATAACATGAGCATGTGTGTGTTTGTATGTCTGTGCATAGGTGTATATATATTTAAAATACATATGGACTTAAAAGTACTGGTGCAAGAACAAAGCCTAAGAAGCCTCCTGTGTGGAGGGCAGGGATCCTCTAGCTCCATCCCGCACCGGGGTGAGCTCTCGGCAGCCAGGCTTCTGTTTTGTGTCTGTTTCCTGGCCATGGGCACCAGCAGCGGGCACCTCATCCACACTGTTCCAATCACAGTGCTTCTCTGCGGCTGGGGTTTGGGGCAGAGAGAAGGGGGAGTTGGAACTGGAGCCCTAAAGCTTGTGTTGAAGACATTCTGTCCTCCTGAACCAAGCAGGAGAGAAAGACAGCCCTCGTTTCCCGAGGTAGGACACTGAACCGACGTCAGGTGGAGAGCAGTGCAGACAGAGCATGCTCCCGGTTCTCTGGCCTTCAGGTCCCACCTTCCCCGAAGCCTGGCTGCGTTTTCACCTCTGTTGCCATGACGCCCTCAGTCTTGTCAGAGTTGCTTAGTGAGAGGAAGTGGTTGCTGTAATTACAAGCTAACCTCTGAATGAATGCAGCCTCTCCCCGAGGAGAAGGCCAGATTTTCCTTTCTCAGATGCTGGGTCTAACCTGTAAGCACGTCGTCCCCTGGGCTCCGTTCCCCTGTGGGTTCTGGACGACCTTGGCCAATGTGAGGACTGAGGAGATGCAGCGCAGGAGGAGAGGGGGCCACGTGGGTCCTCCCTGCCTCAGCACTGGGGTCTGCTGATGGCGGGGTCCTGCTGAGAACATGGCCACGTTTGGGATGGCCCCTGGCACAGCTGTGCTCACAGGACCCAGCAGCCCCTTGGGGTCGAGCGGTAGTGACAGCAAACAGTTGCAGATCCCGGGCTGCCTGAACACCACCACTGGGTTCCTTTGCCCTTCCCTCTGAAAGTGCGTTCTGTAAATAGTCACTATATTAATTCTATTTAAAAAGTCCAGCTTATTTTGTGGTCTTTTTTTTCCCTCTCCGGAACCTGCCAGGCGGATCTAGTAAAGGGGGGAGTTTTTGAATTCATGCATCAGATAGAAACCCCGAATACTGGAACTTCGCAAAATCTGTCTGAGTGGCCTGAACTGCGTAGGAGTGAAAATTCATATAAGAAGCCTGGGAGTGTGGTTGATGCAAGGAGTGTCTTCTCAGCCTCCTGTCGTATCTTAACCACTCACAGACATTCCGAATTCTTCCCTGGTCACTGTACAGAGTATTACAATGACAGAGGTAGCATCAGAATGATGTGAGAATGTCATCCAAAGTCTACATCATTTTTAATTTAAATATAATATTTTAAATAACCATGAGAAAAGTATTGTACTACTTCTCTCACCGACTTACAGGTGAGATGTTATTTCACTAAGTTTATCGATTTTGGAAAATTGGATAGATTCAGCATTCAGGCAATGTTCCTCTTTTATTAAAATCTGATAGTGTTTGCAGCAATATCCTTTTATCTTGAGGAGACACACCCAGAATGTCATAATATGGCAATCTTTCAGGGTGCTGTTGGTGGATGTTTTACAGTGTGTCCTGCCGGAGATGAAGTCTCTTGTGTCGTAGGATGACAGCCGGCCCTCTGATCTCCACTGGCTACTCTGCTGGCCTGGAGACATTTTCATGAAACAATGTCATTGTGTAAATATTGCTAAAGAATAATTTTCTCAAATCACCAAAGCTTTAATCACTAAATCACATAATCACTGAAGATGTAATCACTACAGCTAAGATTCTCTAACAACTTGATCAGATTCATGACCAACTCTCGAATTTTGTTTCCAGTGGATCTTCTATTCATAACAAAAGTGTTCGCAAGCTTGAAAAGATTTGCCAAACAGGCTACCATGGGAGACATTCTTTACTAAACTAGATGGTGAATTGTTTCACATTATCTAGTTTTGGTTTGTTTTTACTTTGTCGAGATTTCTTATTTATTTATTTATTTATTTATTTATTTATTTTCCTAGAAGAAAATTGAGCAATTCAGGTAGCAACCCTCTTCTAGGCCAGTGTACATGTGTATAATACATACTTCTCTTTAAAACAAACAATTAGAAAAGGTGAGCATTCACCTCTCTGTTAAAGAGAAACACTGAGAACATCAAGAGGTGAATGAACCACAGGTCAGTTGTGGTAAGTGCACCAGGCAGTGGCTGCTAGGGCAGCTGGGGTACAGTGGCCCTGAGCCCGTTCCACAGGTCATAGATCTGACACCATCTGTTCACACACCTGCACGTATTTTCCAGTTGATATCATGCTCATGAAATAATCACATACCTTGCCCTGGCCAGTTTGGCTCAGCGGTTAGAGCGTCGGCCCGCAGACCAGAGAGACCTGAGTTTGGTTCCCACTAAGAGCACGTACCTCGGTTGCAGTTTGTCCCCAGCCCTGGTTGGGGTCCTGTGGGTGGCAACCACTCGATGTGTCGCTCTCGCATTGATGTTTCTCTCTCTCTCTTCCTCCCTTTCTCCCTCTCCCTCTGTCTGAAGATGAATGCAAAAACAATGTCCTCGGGTGAGGATAAAAAAATAAAAAATAAAAAAATAATCACATACCTTACTGATAACCTCTTTAGTTACTTCTTTTTATCACGAGACATGTTGCAGCCAACCTTCATTCATTCAATAAGCACTTACACTTACTGAGCACCTACACTGTGCAGGTTGCTGGAGAGTCTCTAAGGCACTGGGCATGCAGCCATTCCCAAGACAAGCACAGCCTCTGCTCTCACCAACATTACTTACTTTCTCATAACAGGCATTATGGGTATGAAACTTCTATAATGACTCATTCATTCTTTTATTTATTTGGTTAATAAATAAATATGTATTAAGTGTCTACAATGGGACAGATCAAAGGACTGCTCAATTAAAATATGGGCAAAGGATCTGAACAGACATTTCTCCAAAGACACACAAATGGCCAATAAGCACCTGAAAAGATGCTCAACATCATTAGTCATCAAGGAGATGCAAATCAAAGCCACAACGAGGTTCCATGTCATATCTACTAGATGGCTACAGTAAAAACCACAGCCAATGATAAGTGTTGGAGAGGATGGAATGAAATTAGAACCCTCATAAACTGCAGGTAGGAGTGTAAAATGGTGTGACCACTTTGGAAAACAGTTTTGGTAGTTTCTCAGAATCTTAAATATAGAGTTGTCATTTAACTCAGCAATTCTACTTCTAGGTAAAGACTCAAAAGAATGGAAAATATATGTCCATAAAGAATTTGTACACAGATGTTCATTGCAGCATTATTCATAATAGCCAAAAGGTAGAAACAACCCAAATGTCGGCAAACTCATAAATAAACTGTGGTATATATAAACAATGGCATATAAAAAAGAAAGTATTGCCCGGTCATTGTGGCTCAGTGGTTGAGTGTCGACCCCAAGACATCACCAGTTCGATCCCTGGTCAGGGCACATGCCCAGGATGGGGGCTAATCCCCAGTGGGGCGGGGGGCATGCAGGAGGCAGCTGATCGATGTTCTCTCTCATTGATGTTTCTATCTCTCTCCCTTTCCCTTCCTCTCTCTCTAAAATCAATAAAGAAAAATATTAAAAAAGAAAGTGTTGATATATGCTACAACATGGAGAAATTTTGAAAACATTATGCCAGCCCTGGCCAGTTTGGCTCAGTGGTTGGAGCGTCGGCCTGCGGTCCGGAGAGGCCCGGGTTCAGTTCCCGCTAAGGGCACATGCTTCGGTTGCAGTTTGTCCCCGGCCCTGGTTGGTCGTGCGGGTGGCAGCCACTCCATGTGTCCCTTTCACATCGATGTTTCCCTCTCTCTCTCTTCCTCTCTCTCCCTCCCACTCTGTCTCTACAAAAAATGGAAAAATGTCCTCGGATGAGGATAAAAAAAAAAAAAAAAAGAAAACATTATGCCAAATGAAAGAAGCCAGTTACAGAAGACCACATAATTATAGGATTCTATTTGTAGGAAATATCCAGAATAGGCAAATCAACAGAGACAGAAAGTAGGTTTGCTTGCTTAGAAATTTCAGTTCTAAATTCACTGTGACAATGGCTGCCCAAAACTAATATACTAAAAACAACTGAATTCTTTGCTTTAAATGAATAAATTGCATGTATGTGAATTATAACCTCAGTAACGATGTTACCAAAAGAGAAAGAGAACACTCTGAAGAGGTCAACCACTAACATTTGGACTTTCATCAATCTGTTAAGAAAATTAACCATGCTATCTGTAGCTTCTCAGAGGTGCATGCTTGACTTTGAGCATGAGCTGTCTCATGGGATGGTCTTATTTGATAAGAACATATATTTAAATTTTTTAAAAATATGTTTTTATTAATTTTTGAGAGAGGGAGGGAGAGAGAGATAGAAACATCCATGTGAGAGAGATCGATTGGCTGCCTCTTGCACGCCCCCTACTGGAGAGCAAGCCCACAACGTGGGCATATGCCCTGACCAGAATCAAACTGGGACCTCTCAGTCCATGCGCCAACGCTCAATCCACTGAGCCACACCAGCCGGGCATAAAGAACATATTTTTAGTTAACCTTCTTTTTGACTGAAGACATATTCAACCATATCTTCACTGGGAACATCATCAAAATTTCTCCCATTACTTGAGTTTCCCTTTCCAA